GACCCAATTTCCCGCTCAAAATTTGATTTTCGAAGCGAGGAAATTGCCTTAGAAGTTATTGCCTACCTGCCTATCAACCTGGATGGTCTACAGATGATGCGTTCGAAATGAAACTTATGAGTAGACGGAACGGAAACCACCCTTCCATTATAAAATAAATAGTCGGCATTTCTAGCTATGGAGCCTAATTCTGGACTCAATATACCTTTAAAACACCTATGTTGATAGGTGGGACGAGCAGATCGGTAAATAACTTCTGAAGCGATTCTAGTTTATATTTCCAGAATGCCTTGGAACTATCTACTTAGCTAAAAGAGTTGCTGTTCCAGGGCTCGGCACGAGGCGGTTTTCGGAAAGTGCAAGAAACGAAGTCCCCCTTGACTCTCCCAAAATTTTACGAAGTCTCTTTGACCTTAAACCATACTCTTAAAAATTCTCCAGGAAACGAAAAGTCGGCCAAAGAAAAAACGTCGCAAATTTTGTGTCTTTTCGGCCACAAAAACGAAAACCCCTTTGCTTTTTGTCCCAAAAACGATACCCAGCTTGCTTGCCAAGTCACCTGTGCCGAACCCTGGTTGTACAGCTCCTGGATTTTTGCATCCTAGTTTTGGATGAATTGCGCCTTCAAGCTTTGTGCTCGCTCAATGCTCTCCGGACCACACAGATTGCTACTGGGACAGAAGCGCGAAAAAAAAAATCTGTCAACGTTAGTTCGAGTTGTATCACGGTGCTGATAAGACTAAGCTGCTCAATGTGCGCTCTCAGGTACCCCATCCAGAGACGAGAGTTCGTGCATGTGATTTGCGATAAGTCACTATCAGCACCGAAAGAGATGCAATAAATGTGCGCGAACAGTTAGTACACTAGCACGTGCAGTATTGTTTACAGCAGAACAAACACCAATCTCTGGACACCAGGACATTCCGTGGTGTTTATAGCTGGACTCAAGAACGAGATCGCAGCCCTTTGGAACTACCCATCCAGAAGAATGACAAAGTGCATTTGGAGCATTCAACATTAAGCATAAACTTCGACAATCCAAACTCAGTTTTCCTCATAGGCACTTGCAAGAATAAAAAATTGGAAATTTGAGCACCCTTTGGACGGTGTAATTCCACTGTTTCGAGACTCCTTTGGTATTTCTTACAAATTCCCTCCTCTACGTAATGGACTCGTTTCTGCAAAACTCCCTCCATAGACTTGGCCAGACTAGAAAAGCCAATTGTTCAAGATCAGAGAAGAGGTGCATACAGTTGTTGAGGATCTTTTGTAACTCCTCAGTCCATCTCCTCAAATTATAGATGTTTCCAAGAGGTCCACTTCGACTTTGGTCAGGCAGATGCAGGAAAAAGGAGGGCATTTTGATCAATTTAGCAGCATATAACCTCGGACAGTTGAATGGATACCTCCGGAGCAAAATTGGGAGGGTCCTGGGCTCTGCCCAGCGGGGTTTGCCACTCGTGCTCCGGAGCCCTCAGATTTCACCCATTTTGGTGCTCCGGGGCTCTTCCAAATCTGGCACCCCTGGAGCAGAGATTTGCGAGCCCCAGGGAGGGGTCCCATTCCCCTTCTTGTGACGTCACCGTGACGCCAGATTTAATGGAGCCCCAATGGGAGGGCTCCGGAACACGAAGTGGCAGACCCCCGCCATTTGCCCTCCGGAGGTATCCCTTCGACCGTTTGAGAAGCCAATGCTCAAGTCGCGGCACATGTTGCCTCCGAAGCGAGAAAATCGTTCCAGAATAACGAAGAGGCACGATGACCCATAGGCGGCACCGCCATCCTCCCGTAATGCCCGCCCATCCACGCGCGCTCACCCAATCACTGTTGCGGAGAACCAGCCCGCGGTTCTCCCAAACAGGACTGTCGGCGTTTCCGCGGATTCTCGATTTCATATTCGGAATCAGGGACATAAGAAGGCCCCGGAACGACAGCATGGAACTCGGGAATCGGAGTGGACGGTGCCTTCATACGGTGTGAGAGGTTAAAGTGGAACTTTTTGTCGCGAACTGGTCATATGTTGCTGAGGAGGAGGCAAAATAGTAAATTCGTGAAAAAGTCGACCGAGTGAGAATCTTCGACCACTTCCCACATAAAAGCCCTAGTAGATTCCTTCCGTTTTCTTTGAGCTGTCCAGAAACAGATCCTTCTTGAGATATTGAGACAAAGCACATCTATACAAGGAATAGAATAGGATGATTGCTACCCTACAAAGAAAACTGTGAATGATTGCAAAATGTGAGAAGCAGCACTGCATGCAGTGACGCAATACAATGATGAAATCTCTCATTAACTGAATTATATGATGCTGCCTTATCTGAAGGAACCAAAAAACATTTGTGCAGGTTTTTCAGAATTAATGACACAATGACACGTCAACTACCTTTCTGAGATTTCTACGATGACGATCAACTAACTGAATGTCAATCAGTGAGACATTTTCATTCACAACGAATTGATATAATCGTGAAATTCGGTGATTCACAGAAAGACATCAATTCTTGGTAAAAAGGCACCGCTAGAAGTTGTTCGAAACGATCAGAGTAATAATCAAAAGGGGGAGGTTAATATTACTTTGATGCAAAATCAACATTTGGTAGGCCTCTCTCCATGAACTTTTTTACAATCACACTTTCTTCTATGGAACGAGTTCAGCAAATTACCTAGGAGTTTAATGCTCTATCCAACGATGGTTGAAAGTGCTTCTAGCCTAATCTGTTGTTTACAAAGCTTCATAATCCCGCACTGAAAAGAAAATCATTGCACTCATTTTTTTTGGCCAGAATTCATGCGCAAATAATGACGTTTTTCAAAAATTTAGCTTTTTGTAGTGAAAACTGCCTACATTATGCATTTCACATTTGTATTTTGGTGTTATCTAGACAAAGATATCGACTCCACAAAATGGGTTAATCGGTGGTCACTCTATGGCCCACAAGTTTCTATAAAAAGGTCTCGCTAGAGCTTCGCTCATTTGGTAGTGTAAGGGTAGGGCATCCTGCTCACAGTTTTTGCAATTACACCCACGTATTCAGTACACAGGAAATCCGAAAATTGCATAATTAGGCGTTTGATGCCTTCTGAAAAAATGTTGAAAAAAGCTAACATTTTTATATCTTAATTTTTTCCTTTTCAAATTTCTTTTCTGTTCAGGCCCTTTTCACCTTCGTGTGTATTAATTTCTTGCCGCTACAAGATAGGCTACTTGCCAATCATATGGACAAACTTGGAAGGGAGTTGTGGTAACACGACGTTTGATCAAGAAACTTTTGTTTACCAATCCATATTTTTCTGCCGGTTTGTGATACGAGTACAAGTCAATGTGCAGCATAGCGAAAGTTTGGATGGTCTTTGACGCTTTTAAATCGTAGAATTTTTGGGAAGTTTTAGCAAGTCAAAGTGTGACTTCGCAAACGCTCATTATTTTTGCATCAATTTTTATATTTTGGGGAGCGAAAGACCTTATACTTGATGCTGAATGAGTGGAAACTTCCGTTTCTTGATTTTCCGTGCTTTTTTTGTAATATCTGTAGTCTGTGAGAAAAGGAACATTTGTATCTGTCAATTAGTTCAGGAGATTTATTGGCAATTATGCATTATTATTTATTATTGACATAAAGGTTGGGTATTTTCATCATAAATAGTAAAAGTGCGATGATGGACCGAATGTTGGCAAAAGTTCTGCATCCGGAAGCAGAACTATTACGACAGAAAGCTGTCAGTGGAGTGGAAAACTCCATTGACTTCGATACCGGCAGACCTTCTCATAGCGAGGAAACCGTCAAGTTGTCGTAAAAAATGCCCATCCATGTCGAGAGAGTATACCACAGGAAGTTATATAGTATAAAACACCAGATGTAAAGCCCTGGTTTCTTCAAAAAAAAGTATTAGGCATTCGCCTATAATGTTCGGCCCCAAAATGTTGACACACTTTCGTTTCAGATACCCTATGGAGGTCATCTGACATGCTGTTCATTGGCTTGCTATTACTCAATCTGTTATGGTCTCATATTTGTATGAAGAACTGTACGGTGAGGGTTAAAATCTCAGTATCCGAAAAAATTTCGCGAATAACTTGACAACATTTCATTCATTATCAAAACTCATCATACGCATCAATTAACAATGTCGCCCACCTACCGTAACCCCTATGAAAAACTCGTGATAGCATATCGAATACCAAATTTAGCGGAAGCTTGAGTGGAGTTCACGACTTTGAGACTTTGAGGTCTGGAGAGCCGAAAAGCGACAATTGAGCTAGGTACTTACAAAATGGTGCTCAATCGCGTGTCAAATAATACCCCTGGCAAAACTTTGTCAAAATAAGCGAATATCAACTTTGGGTTTATTAGTGCAATGGTGTTCATTTTTGGCGTCACAAGACAAAATTCTCCTAGCGCCTTTTTTTCCGAAAATCGGTACGCCACAAAAGGAGATATTATGATCAGCAGAAATGAATAGAAAAGCGTTTCTGATCACATAAAAACATGTCAGTTAATGTTAGTTAGGTCACGTGGCAAACACATAGTTTCCATACCTAGCGAAAAATTGCCTTGATCAAGCATACTCTGTAAATTAGGAAGGGACAACATTATAAAGGGGGAACTGATGATCACATGCAATTTGAGAGCAGGCTTTGTAGACGTCGTAAGTGGACGAAAAAAACGATGGATGCACATAGAAATCTCAAGTGATTACAGCTGCTATTTGAGCAGAGATTTAATATCTGTAGCGATATGCAACCGCAATTATGCGGAAATCAAAATGCGTCCGATGAGATGTGCAAAAGAGAACATATATAAAGGCACAACATCCTGTGACTCGTACGCGAACAAAAATAGCCAGCGTGAGCTGGAAGATCGCTAAGAAGCAGATGTTGGATCGATACGCGCGAGCGGAGCAGGTGCTACGAATTCAGTTAATGAGTGTTCAGCTTTGAAATGACCACGAACATTACGCCGCATCTCAGTAAGCCAATGATCGGAGAAGGATCCCATAATATCCATATTGACATTTATTTTCTGATGCATGCAAAATTACAACATCATTTGATCTACTTTTCTGTAATAACTTATATACTTAAAACTGCTAAAAACGGGTCGTATCGAACTGACAGAATAACAATGCACGATTTAAGATCAGCAACAGACCAGTAACAAAACAACAAATTTTGTCCACGATGACATGTAAAAAAATCAATAGGGCTAGCAATTATCATGTAAAAGTATCACTTTTATTGAATAAACTATCTCCGATTGAAACATGATCATGACCCTCCAGTATCGTCATCAACCGCTTCACTCATACGCTCTTCACGAGTCTTCTTGCGATTGAGCTTCCAAATCTGCAACAACAAAAGTAAAATGGTAGCGCTGCACAGATTTTTGAATCGCTTTCCAAGGGTACACAGAAGCTAGATACAATCCGCGCCTGCGGAACGAAACGTTTGTCCTAGAGTAGAACAGGTGTTCATAATGTATTCATGAGAAAAGCAAATAAAAAACAACTACGTATCTAGAAATCGAGCGCGATGGTGACTGCAGCAAATTTCTTATTGCGTGGTCATTGGATTGTTTGTAGAAGAAAAATGAAAGAGAACCCGATATATTAGATTGGCACATCACTTTTTCAACATAACTTTTTCTTATAATTGTTGCCTTTATGTGGCACCTCCTTTTTTGGCATTATGATGATTATCATGTGAGCAACGATCGCGGTCATTTCTGCTCCCAACATCACATTTGAGAATCACGGTAAGACAATTTTTGAATGAATAAAAAAGAATTGGCATGGATTCGGAATAAACGAAGTTGCAAAACTTATGTGCCAACATAATATATAAAGTCTAGGGCAGTGATTTCTCGAAACTCTGTCTTTATCCCAATACGACGTCCCTACAACTTTAAAAGCCACAAAGCGAAAAAATCACCCTTGCATGAAAATTAGATAAAAAATTCTGGACATTATATGGATGGTAATGTGTTCGAACAAACCTGTATGTACGATTCCGCCAGTACAATCATCTGTGGCAAAATTTCCTTCACATGTAGATCTTCAAGTTCGAACCATTTGCGCGAGCCCTATAGAATTAAGACTAGTCAAAGACCACGGTAAGCACATTGCAGATACGCTAGCCGAACACGATAAAGGACCTACCACGTGAACAAGCTGAATACGATAGTTCCCTGAGTCTGGCTTCCCTTCATGCACGATGTTGGCGACCAAGTCATAAGTGGTATACTTGTGATCTTGCTTAGTGTCTTGTGACAAGCAATCATATAGATCGACATTGCTGGAAATAGTAGTAGTTGCGAATGTACAAAAGAAAAAAGGTGGCCTACTTGTTCGTTGGAGGACGCTCAGCAAAAACTTACACGGATAAAAAACCAACCTGATTGGAAAATTGACAATGGTTGGGTTCTTCTCAACAAACCACTGATTTTTATGGAATCTCTTGTAGGTGATAATAAGATATTCGGGTAACCGGAGCAGTTCAAATCTCTTCATGATATTCTCATTGTATGTTTTGTATTCCTGTAAATGTCACTATGACAATGTCACGGTTCACAAACCAAAATGAGGCACTCGCCTTTTCGGTCATCCCATTGAATTTTTGGAGTAAGACCGACAAGGGAACTTGCGGAATAATATTCTGCATCTGTTCATCACGGTATAATGGAGCAGGGGGAAGGTCCAGTGCGAGATAGAGGAAGGGCAATTCCTTTGCGCTTTCTGCATGGGTAACAAAGATAGCATGTAACCAAAAAACAGACAATGATTGTTTCTGAGGACTGACCGTTATATTCTGGCTGCTGGAGAAGCCGCATTCGTTCATAATCTGTTGCCTCAGCAGGAATAACTCTTCTCGAATACTGCCGCATGCGACCACGAAATATTCTAAAAGTGCGAGTTTGCACCCAAGCTTTTCTAATTTATCGCTCACTTGTAGATAATCGAGGAAGATGATTTCTGTGTTCCATTCAAAGCGATGTGCAATGTGTTTAGGAGAAAGCTCATGAACTCAGCAGCATCTCCTAGAAACACAAAATGGCAGGCTGTATGACTTTATCGAATCCCTGAGGGATGTAATACGGACCAAGTGTTGACAAGATTGAGTCATTTTGGAACATAAACGCATAGAAACTCATAAACTCAAAATTACCTTGTTTGATGAACTGGAACTTTTTGTCGGAACAAAGTACCGTGGCCTGAAGCATTTCATGAGGTGAAACATGAGTTCGGAATGCTTTCGGATTCCACAGCTTCCTGTAAATATTACTTACCAGGACGCAAGATTTGATAATCGTGGGATTGTACCTGATCAGCTCTCCAAATCTTTTTGGCAGGAGACTGAGCTTGTCACCAGGAGGTCTTTTAATGTTTTCATAGTTTTCCTCTCGGAGGAAATAATCACGTAAGGGGGTGACATGTGACAATGCCTATAATAATACTAAAATCCATTGCTACTGAACCAGATTCGCCCAGAACGCTTGTGACCAAAAACCGAGTTGTTGAAGAAGAGAGAAGCTGAGAGTCTGCAAACAAACAGCCAGGACACGGGAAGAATTTAGTCCAATTAGGACAGAAAATGGTATTGTGGTGAAGATTTCAAAAATGAACAGGTTGGTAAGCTCAAAACCTTTCGTGCTTGAATCTAGTTGCTAGAGATTGTGTTCAGTACACGAAAAAAAATACAGCAAGCTCACTGAGCATGATGCAGAGTTACTTAGAGAAGAGATAAAGAGACGTACATGAAGAACTACATTGCAGTAGTCGTTAGCTTTGATATTATTAAGCCCAACCACTCCTGGGAAATAAGTAGAGTCATCGTACGCTCTTGCCATTCTGTGTTGCCGATCCAGGGAAGATATCAGTTCCTTAGTATATGTCGGCTTCAGCACATACTGCAAAAGACGAAGATGGATGTGTACGCAAATAAAGTGTTACAAAACAATGAACCTTGATATCTTCCAAAGATGGATCGTCCACTTCATAATTATCAGGCAGACAATAAAACTTGAGAGTATGGAGGTTGAGAAAAACGCGATGGTCGGTGTCTAACGAGTGCGTGTACGCATGTGTATTGGTACCGCGACCCTGTAAAGCTTATATGTTCAGCATATTCAAAATACAGTATATAAGGGTACGGCACGAAAACAGGAAGACAGCGCAAAACGATCTCTTACCTGGAAATATTTTCCACACACCATACAAGCGTATACGTTGAGATGCGATAGAGACACCGAACAAAGCTTCTCGAAATCAAAGTCTAACACTTTTCTAAAGGAGGCAGCTTGAAAGGAAGTAAGCAGTGAATTTCATCAGTCTAGAGGAATCCAAAAGGAGTAAGTATCATTTACCTATCTATAGTGTCGAGATAAGGGCAAGCCCTAGAATCATGGGCTTGATCATGATTTTGCACCGATGAAGATGGTCCATCTAATTCAGCGTCTTCTTTGGCCTAGAAATGCAATTTTAACAGCTAGCAATACTATATATACGTAAACCTAGCCCATCACACAAGTTTAATTACTGGCATATTGAAACGTCTAAAGCTATTTAGATTTATTAACATGTAAAAAAGAGCGCTATCTCATACCAGTTGTTCAATGAGTCGCAGTCTTTCCAGCTCTCTTGCCGTAGGTTCATGTGCGGGTTCCACAACCTAGAAAGCGTTATAGCCGCAAAATCCAGCATGATATAAAACTACCTCTCCTTCTTCAAGGCCATCATTTCTGGAGCCGTTATCATTGGCAGCTTCTTTGTCTTTCCTAGACTTCTCTTTGTGGTCGTCTTCTTTATCATCTTTCCTCCTACTCCTACCTTTGTCTTTCTCACTCCGTTTCCGTTTTGCATCTGGTGATCTGCAAAAAAAAATTATAATAGTCGAATTCGAACCAAGAAAGCTCACCTAGAACGTGATCTTGATTTATCTCTTCTCGACCTTCTATCTTTCTCACGTTTCCTTTCTCGGTCTTTGTCCCTGTCTGATCTAGACTTTTTGTCATCGTCATCTCGCTTTTCTTTATCCTTGTCTGATTTGGTCTTTTTGTCTTCGTCTTCTCGCTTTTCTTTATCCTTGTCTGATTTAGACTTCTTGTCTTCGTCATCTCGCTTTTCTTTATCCTTGTCCGATTTCGACACCCTGTCTTCGTTATCTCCCCTATCTTTCTCTTTTCCAGACCTTGATTTCTTCTCATCATCTCTCCGTTCCCTTTCCTTTCCAGACTTGGCTTTCTTCTCCTCTTCTTTGCTATCCTCCGACTTTTCTGACTTCGACTTCTTCTTCTTGGCTTCGTGCTTCTCTGCATCTTTCTCAGCCTTGGGAGCTTCAGCTTCTTCAGCTTCATCATTGTGTTCCTTATGCGTTTTATCCGAATCACTTCCGCTGCGGTCAGCTTTGGATTTCTTCTTTGGTGGAGACGGTGACCTATCTGAAAAGCAATGATAAACATGAAAAATGGAAAAAAGGAGATTGGGAAGAGATGTGGAGGGCCGCCGGAAACGAACAAAGTTGAACGATCTGCACATGCAACTATGCAATATCTGCACTAATCTATTTATCCTAAAAATAAATTTCGTTATATGAATTGACCGTGTGCTCGAAGAACTCTACAGGTGCAACATAATTCTTTGGCTATCCGAGGGAATTTTAAATAGCATCAAACTGCCAGGAAACGGGCAATTATGATAAGAGGCGTTGCGTTAACCATCTCTAAAACTATTAAAAGAGTCTGAACCTAAATAAAACCACGCCAAATATTTCTAAGCAGAGGAAGCTTACAACAACGGAGAATGATCTACACTTATCTTGCGTATTATGGGCACTCTGTTAGGAAATATGCGAGAAAATTGCATAATAATCCGAGTGACTATATATCATGAGATCTGAGGTGGGAGCTTTCACGCAAAACTGATGAATCTCGCCTCAGTCCTGAGGACTAAAGCACTAATAATTTCTCCCACAAAAAGGTGAGGCAACGCTCAATATTCAATAACAAAAGACTGTAATAACAGTAAGATTATCTTAGGACAAAGAATCAACAAACAAAGACAGAACAGGATGGAAATGATACAAAGAATCAAGTAAAGTACTACCTGAATCATTAGATGCTTCACGTTTCAGCGGGTTCTCATCTGCAACAGAATTTCCAGTTTCCCCTTCTTCAACGCCATTCGAATCGTGATCAGAACCAGCTTGCTCATCTTCACTCATTTCGCTGAAGATATATGGCGAAGATGCCAGCAGACAGAAAATATTCGAATGCAAGTGCAAACTTGTGGACCACGGGCAATACGAAATGCGCCACCGCACAAGTTCAGGCGCGAAAAATTGGAATTCGCGCTCATCCAAGATTTCAACGTTGTCTTTTGAGTTCGGGTGAATCACCGCTCAGATTTTGTTGTTATTGTCATGTTCTGGTTGTATTCCATAATGTTCAAAAAATCATTCATTACTTCACAGATCAGTGGATATATAGGTGTTATAGGGGAGGAGAAACGTCCCAACGGCTATTCCTACTTGCGTGCGTTCTTTACTTGAACAGGGCCTCAGTCCTACTAATTCATAAGAGCAGTCCTTGGCATTTTTTGCATATACAGATGCTTATTGTTGGTAGATTTTATGAAAAAGTGCTTCTTGTAGCTCCTGATGCAACAAACTTCTTTTCAAGTGTAGGTTTGCACTCAGAGCTCGTCGAATCCTCCAAAATACCGGAAATAGATGTCTGCATGCGAATTCTGCCATGCGTCTTGTGTCTTTGCTTGCATTAGATATGTGATTATAGACTTTAGTAATAATCTAGTGCTTTTCAAAATATCATGTTCGCTCCTAATGCTTGGATTACTTTCACATCTCATGCTTTCAATTTATAATCTCTAGGGATCTTAGTATTTGGGACGGAGTAGAATCTGATCAGCATGTGGGTGTTTTGGCCCCCAAAGAAAGCTCATCGGAGGCGGTAGGGTGTGGTTCAAGGGTAACGATAGCAGTTGCCAGCTGCTCTTGCGATAACATGGCGATACACTTTCCTCAAAAAGCTCGTATTCAGATACAATGAAATGAGTTATTCGAAACAAATAACATGATCAGTAAGTTGATCGGAGTCAGTGATAAGTGCAATTCGATAATGCTGGTGCAAAAAAGTAAATTACACGATCCACCTCGCAACTCCCTTTTCACCATTTCAAACGGAATTCACATCTCAACTCTGGGTAAAAAACCATTCAACTCCACTTTATTTATAAGCATAAAAGAAGGGAAGGCTCGCTCTTCGAAACATGAAGAATCTCTCAGGAATATGAGGTATGATCATTTGGACAAAGGTTATCCAAAGCTGTCTTCTTTACTTCCGAAGCTTGTGCTGATATCCAGTGGCTGGCCAGATGTTGTCAAATCTCATAATTGAATTCAAGAAAATCACTTTGCTGTATTTTTCAGTGATTTTTCTCTGGCAAATTCACATTATTTATTGGATAATCAAATGTTATGTTTTAGACCGCAGAATTTCGGAAAAGCAAATTTCGGTTTCAATTCAGCAGAGCACGTCTCTGTCGTTTCATCGTACCCCCAGAATTGTTCCCGTATGAACCATCAAAGTGGTTGCTTTTCGATCGTTTTGACACGTTAACTCCAACAAATTTAAGGCTCTTATTCGAAACCAGTGCGTCACCTCTGCTTCGCAGAGGCTCGCACTGGTCCTACTATCCGTATGCATTACCCATTCCCGCACACTAATGACATTGAAACTCACCGCGCTGTGCGGACTATCACGAATGAATTGTAAACAGCTAATCATTCCAAAAGCTTTTCCACCTGAGATCGGTAATTTCGCGTGAATCAAACTCTCCCCAAAAGAACAAATGCAAATTTCAATCGGTTTTTGGATTTTTCATGGCTTTGTATTTATCATAAGATACAATAATCATCGTGGGCTACATCTCTGTGCAAAAATCTTCTCAAATGATCGGATGAAATCTTGGCAAATTGTACATTTACACAATCAATCATTTTTGGCGCCGTTTTCTCAAAGTAATAAAGTTTGGTTCAATTTTTTAGGCTAAAGTTCATGCTTTGCACATTAGCTTGTTAAGCATACCCATCACTTTGCAAAAGTTGTGCCACAGGCTCAATTTTACTGGTTGAAAGCCAAGTGGATCCGATTGACGAGCATTTTTTGAGGGATCCACGCAACGGATCCGCTCATGCTTTTGTATGTTGGACTTTTATGTTGGTAGTATGCGCTGTGCAAAATTTGGGCTCAGGAGGTTGGCTGGAACTCGCTCTACGAATTTCGTGACAGACAGAGATTCAGACACACACACAAACGTAAACAACCCTTAGCCCGTTATTATAAGTTATGATTGACAAGTTAAAATGATCGGAAGACAGACCACGTTGATGGTTCATATGGAAACAATTCTGGGAGATGCACCATGCGTAGTTATCACGAGTATCTCCCCAAAACTTCACCTTCCTTTTTGTGTTTTCCCCATGTCGTTCGGTTTGTTTTTAGAAATTTCCGAGTGATGAAGCTTAATGCTTCATTTGCAGTTCAGCCAATGTCCGACCAGGTGGAGTTCTACGATACAGTTGAAGCTCGTTCATATGGATCGTTGGGGAATGATGACGAAATTACGGAAAGCATGTGTGACGAATTCTTCCGATCCCGTCGTAAGTTTTGTACTCTAGATTCATACTTGCCGGATGTTCTGATATCGTCCTTTATTAAAATACATTTTCGGGAAATCACGATCTTGGCTATGAATGCAAAGTAAATTCAAAGTTTTGACAATTTTTACCGAGCGTATGGGGATAAGGACGCTTTACATCACCACCGTACATCCGAAGAGATTTTGCTCGGCTATTGTAGACTAGTGAACCAGTAATTAAAGTTGCTAGAATATCCGCGCACTCCGGAACCGCACCGCGGTTTCCTGCTTTTTGATGATATTTAAATGCGTTACGATTTTTTATATATCAGGTACATGTGATCCGGAGGGAGTATTTAGGAACGCGAATCTGCAGCGCTTATTGCAGAAAGAAATTGAGCTTCTTAGGCGTGCGCCATACTTGATCCGCTCAACCCACTTGATCAGTTTGTCAATTCGCTGAATTGACCAGTAGTGAAGTGGATGATGTGGATCAAGCGGATCAAGTAGGCAACCGCTTCGCTATTGGTCACTTCACTTAATTGACCAATAACGAAGCGGATCAAGCGGATCAAGTATGACGCGTGCCTTAAGGCTTTGGCCATACTTTGCCCGTGTTGCCGGTGTTGAAAGTGTTGCCGGTGTTGAAAGTGTTGAAAGTGTTGCCAGTGTTGAAAGTGTTGAAGTGTTGCCGGTGTTGAAAGTGTTGAACGGAGATCATTAGTCTAGCAGTTTCATTCTTTCTCGAACAATCTCACCGGCTGGTGAATACGTTGGAAATGGAATTGGGGAATGAGAAATGAAACTGAAATGAGATGGGCAATGTTTTCGCATGCAAAAGATCCTCAAACAAACTTTTTGAAAAGTGGACGGCTTGTCTGGAATAGGAGAACGCTGCAGACCTCACTTAGGTCCTTTACTCACTAATCGCAAGCGCGGCAAGATTCGAACTAAAACACATTACTACTCAGACGTCAGCTTTCCCAAATATTGGAGATTGCCTATTCCAGACAAGCCGTCCACTTTTCAAAAAGTTTGTTTGAGGATCTTTTGCATGCGAAAACATTCCCCATCTCATTTCAGTTTCATTTCTCATTTCCCAATTCCATTTCCAACGTATTCACCAGCCGGTGAGATCGTTCGAGAAAGAATGAAACGGCTAGACTGATGATCTCCGTTCAACACTTTCAACACTGGCAACACTTTCAACACTTTCAACACCGGCAACACTTTCAACACCGGCAACACGGGCAAAGTATGGCCAAAGCCCAAAGGTTCATTACCTTAGTCAGTGTTGACCTAGTTGGACCTCCGAGAACAAAAATGCTCAAGTGATTTTGGGACTGTGCACAACTCGAAAGCATAAAATAAAACGATTACAAGCTCTTGAAACAAAAAAATCAGACGTTATTATGGTATGCCTGAAAAGTCCATGCAACACCACCTGTTCGGTTATGCACTATGTGTTCATTTGTTTATCCATATAGAAGCTGTCCCAAAAAACGGAAAACAACAGCACAAAATAAGGGCTAATTTTGATATGTGTATAATTTTAGTTGGAAATCCGCCAACAACGTCACTGCAAGATGCCATAGTAGTCTCCCATACAAGAACTGAGGACGGACATCAAGTAAGACACATAAGTTGCATTTCCCTTGTAGACCATAACTATATCTGTGTTACTTAGTGAGCTTTAGATCTGCCCTGGACTTATAAGTAACATCGGTAATTAAGGAAGCTACTATCCAAGCATCCAATGGCGAAGCTGTACTTGAGCCACCAATAGTAGTTCCACGCGTGACAGAATCCGTTACGCAGTCGGTGACTGTGCCTAGCCAAGATGAAAACAGACCAGTGACAGTCGCTACGAAAGAGGAAGCTAATCTAGGTAAGATATCTTCTATTTTTATCATATAATCTACATTGATAGCATTCTTTTGTAGAGGATCTCGGACGACTGGCAATGTTTGGTAAGAAAAGAACTGTTTTACGACGATCACAAATTCGCGAACTCCCGCAGCCTAGTAAGTTTATGTTTTTGGCAACACTGCCCAAGTATGCTTCCCTCTGCCTCTTTTCATTCTGACAAGCGCCTCTTTTTTCAGCACATTCTCAACCAGGTGCGCCTGCATCTTCATCTCTCCAATCAACTTCTCGACATCCGAATACAACACCATCCGCTCCGAGAACAACTGGCGCAAAATCACTCGTACCCCCAGTAACCAAAACCGGCACATTAACAAGAAAATCGAATGCGCACATACGGTATTATCGTTTTTGCTGTTGTTTTCATTACTATCTATGTAGTCTACAAGAATGGAAGAAACGCTCTGGCTCAACTTTTCTTGATTATTTCAAAATTAAACGCACTAATCCCAAATTATTCACCAATCATTTGAGAGGCGCCGTTCACCCGAGACGAAGGTAATGAAACTTTGTGGCTGCATAATAGCGGGATTCCTGACTGAATAAATGACAAGTCCTGCTGGAAAAGATGAAGTCCGAAGAGAGAAAATCGCTCTAGAAGGTGCCTCCTGACACTTCAGTTTCGCCTATCAATGTATGCTGCGAACGTGATGGTGCTAATTTGGGTTCCAAGGAGTTATGGAAACTCTGGTGCCAATGAAGAAAGACAAATTTCCGAAATATCTATCTACTTAAAATCAAGTTCAGCACCTTTACTCGACGGCGTGTTTTGTTGGGCGGGACGGACGTGTCCGCAGGTGTTGTAGAGCCATTTCTTTGGAGTTCATTTTCCAGCGGCACCTAATTACTTGGTCCCGCTGTTGTACCACAAAATTTTAGCACCCTCAGTTTGGTTGATGACTTTAACTGTCTATAATTGAATGGACTAGATTCTTTTCCTGTTCGTTTCCGTGTGTTGTTATGGTGTGTAGTGCTGCACATGTTTGATAGATGTAATATACCGACTTTGAAAACGAGTTTTTTTCTCTATTTTTTGAGAAGTTCCCTCTCCATTTTTCATGCTGAATTGGTTTAGTCCCGAACGATCCACTCCCCTTTCTCAGCGCCAGACTCAGGAAAGGAGTGTTCGTCCGGCCATCGCACTTCCCAGACCTACGGGTAGGACTCCAGTACTGAAACCAGTGTACGTTCATTGCTGTTTTCCCCAATAAAGTGTAGCACGAGTGCCTTAATCTTCTAGCCGAACACCGCGGACCGTTCCACAGGTTCCATCGGGGCCGATCACCCGTGCACGCAGTAAAGAGCTGAGAAAGTATGTTGATGATTGCTCAAAAAACCATTGTACTTCATCATAATTTAGTGTCGCCATCGAAAGCTCATCCATGCAGTCTGTCGCGACTGTTGGTTCTCGCGGCACAGGAGTAAGTTTGTTTCTGAACTTGGTGTAATCGGAAGCTAATTTGGGTTTTCAGAACATTGAGAATGGTTTGCGGCAGCTGAGATTGGGCACAGAGCCGGAGCGAGTATCTCGCAGTCGTGCGCCGCATACGACAACAAGTAGTAGATCGTCAGCAATGCAGCGCCAACCTGTGCGTATCGGTCACGAACGTCAGCGACCTCCCAGTCCAGGTAAGCATATTGGAATCTTGATTGTGGCATGATATTTTTGGTTTTTCTTCTCAGGGTCCTTTCTCAGAAGCGAAGCAGTTCCCAGCGCTCGTGAGTTTCGCCAAGAACTTCTTCATCGCAACTCCAGCCTAGGTAGTTGTCAACGTGCCTCATCCACTCCTAAAGATGAACAGAAGCAGTTTTCCACGAATGGAGAGCAGTCTAAAAAAGGACCTGCCTCACGTGAGTTATCTGCGAAATAGGTGACTCTCCATCTAATCATGGCTTTCAGAAAGAACCAGCGGAACTGCAGCGGCTCCACCCGTCGCTCGCGCATCAAGCGTCACTAGACCAGCAAGGGCGCCCGTAGTTCCTCTGGCTCCTAGATCTTCGAGCGTCACTAGAGCTCCGACTGTGGCGCAGCCTTCCGTCCGTCCAACAGTGCGCTCCTCCAGTTCCACTCGTCCTGCAGTGGGACCTGCTATGACTCGCCCGCACGTCCGTCCACCCAGTGTTACTCGTCCGCAAATTCCGAATTCAACCGCACCGCCTCGTACCGTTTCGCGCAATGGTATAGTGCCTGACAGGAATACCGTGTCTATAAGAACGACAGGGGTATGTTTCGAAGTTTTAGAACAAAAAAAAAAGTCTTAGGACAGTCGCAGAGCTATATCATGATCCAAAAATGGCTTATTTAGACTACCCCTATCCCATCAAGGCCTTCCGAACCACGTTCGACGGTGATAGGAAGTTTTCGCAGAAGAGATCCCGGAGATTCGACCCCCAGGCAGGATTTTCGAGATAACCTGCGGCGCTATCCGGCTCCATCGGTAAGCCTATGATATCTGATAATGTCAGGGTCAGGAGTATAGACTAACCTAATAACCTAAAACCTGCCCTTGATGTTCCCTAATTAAATTTGCAGCAATACAAGTTTGTAACCCATTAGCACATTACTCATTCATAGCACCTGACCCTATTCTGCAATGGGAAGCTTCTGTAATAGTCAGTGAAATTCCTCTTCGTAGGGCTTAACACCTCTTCATCGGCCGTTGGCTACCGCGACTAGTATTAGATTCCATCCATTGCATGTACATGGTTGCACTTCAAACGATGTTAGTCTTATTGTTTCAAATTTTGTCACTTTTAGTGTTGTTGTTTTTTTTTTTGAAAAAAAGATGAATGTCATAAAATCTTGAAGATAATTTTTGCATTTTCAGACAGCCAATGTCGCCGCGCCTTCCCCACCGAAAGTACTGTCCAAACATCAAGTGGACGCCATGATCAATCGACTCGCAGCCCCGAGGAGAAGCGCAGTTCCGAAAGGGTGACTTTTATCTGCATAATTTCGTCAGCAACTTAATGCAGTTGTTCTAGAATCCCCAACCAGCAAACGCACGGTCTGTCATGCACAAAAGTAAGAAGTCGATCAACGTCTATGGCTCGCCGCCCATTGTCGGCTCAGGAACTCCACGCCCCAGCATGCCGCGCAGCACTCCAGTTCGCGCCAGAAGATCAGCTTGGTCCTTCCAACTGTCCTCCACAAAGCAGTGCTTCTGTCCAAGGTAAACAGTACAAGTATACATACATTTATTATGGACTCAGCTATTTGCAGATATGGCCAGTGGAGATGTTATGTGAAACTAAGAAGTCCTTTACCGAGTCAATAAGTATTAATGTTGCAATTACTCATATTTGTTCTTACTTATATCAACGCTCGCCCTTTGCAGTCTTTCTTTTCGGTGCAAGAAAATTAATATCATGTGGTTCACCCCGAATTTGTAACTAGAAATTTATTTTTGTGACAATACGATCCATGTTGAAGGAAAGAGATGCTACAATGTGGTGAGATATAGTTTTAGTCAAGCATTATCATGGTTCATCTTCTGACATTCACAAACTTCTGATCAAACACGATATCTATATCTAGCCTGCTCTCTGTACTATCATTGCCTTAATCTCACAGAGAACGCGATAATGATGCGATCATTCGTTTGTCCGTTCATTTGTCGTGTTCGTTCATTCTCTGTATCATACTATGCCTCGTTTATATTCGTTTATGCACATAAATAGTATCTCTGAATGGAAGTGTAATGTTACTTGAAAAAGTCGTCATCGCTATCTGATGGAGTGGCTTCTTTGTGCTTCGAAGACGCCAAATACTGTGAAAGCATACCGGCACTACTTTGTTGTCGTGTTGGCAGTACGGGAACACTGAAATCAAGTGTTCAAATATAAACGCTGAATGTCCTGTAACACTTGCCTTGGCTCAATTGGCTTGGGTACGGAAGTGCTGGGAACTGCCAGATCATCTTCGGTATCGCTAGGGTCTTGTTGTCCAAAAAGAGTGATCAGTTTACTGTACGTAGAAGTTGTTTGAGGCAGTGCAGCTGGTGTTTTCATAGACGTAGATTCTAAAACTGGGGAATCGGATTTCGCTTTTGTTCTGATGCCGAGCAGAAAAGTCGAATTTGTACAAATTCCTTTGTAGGGGTATGGAAGTATAAAGTAAGTATCGAGGGCATGGTTGCGCTAATACATCCATGAGCAAGCCATTTCGAATGAAAGCATTTTCTGGATTACTATCTAATTCATTCTTTTTAAATTGCCTACAGTATGGTTCCTTCGTGTTTGGTGTGCCCAAAAAATTTCTTAGAATCTCAAAGAATGGGGCCGAGGCTCAGAGACAGTGGTGATAAAATGTCTGATATGTGATCGTTAGCATCATATGGTAGAGTAACGGTAGATATGTGTAAAAGTCGAAATACAAGCAAATTTGTGTCGTGACTATGTGGAGGAGGTTCTTCACCAAAGCCAGTGTACATACATTATCCGAAGTGACAAAACCGCGAAAGAATGTAGGCGAGTAAAAATAAGCAAGGTTTTTTGAAGAACTTTCGCATCTCTAGCGTGTTAGAAGGATTTGAATCAATTTTCAAAACAACCTCCGAATCCTCACTTGTAGCTTATAGAATGACTCTATCGCTTGCTTCCCCTCCACGGCTGCTATCTATCCTGGCGTTTGCTTTGTTTTTTTTTGCAATGAGCTATGGCTGCAGACTAACAATTAAGGAAACAAAACATAAGAGCCACCTATCCTCGCCGCATTCGCTTGTTTCTTCTCGTCTTTATTTTCAGACGTGACCGGTCGTCTATCTGCAGGATGTGCTTCGATTTTGGATTCCACAGTCGTATGCTCCATTATCTTCTCTGGTACCTCCTCCTTTTTCACCGAATCAACAGGTAAAGGAGTTGGCGCAGCTTGAAAATTTATAGGCAGGGGTTGGGATGTCGTCGTTGTTTCCACCGTAGAAGGAAGGACGCGCCCTGCTCTCAAATCTGAAAAAATTTATCGTAGGCGGTGTTGTGAAATAACAATTCGCCCTTCAGCGCTGTCATACTAACAGATTTGATAAACTTGGGTATCTGGACTTTTAGAGTAAATACTGATTATGGAATTTCTACTAAACCATGGCTAAGTCAGCAACTCGCATAATCCACTCACAGTCGAGAATTCAACTTTGACCTCTTATTGATTGATCATGGTCGATCTAATAACCGTCCTCAAGAACGGAACGTTGACTGTTCCGCTTCGAAATAGTACGGTCTGGAGGAAAGCATAACGTTTTTTTTTTCGGTCACGTGTGAATTATACGAGCATGGGCGTGGTTACTTGAGGTCTTTCAGTCAGTTTCTGCATGTAAAAGGTCTGGTGCCCACATTACCAGACTTCGTTTCAATCTCCCAGAATTCGAAGCGAACCTGCGATATAGGCATCTCGCTGTTCCTCGTACTTCATCGTGGCCATCTGCTCGGCTGTTGGTGTGGCAAGTGGTTCGAAAGTCGTCAACGAAATGTCACTGAGGCGATTCCGAATAGCCAGCATCGTATCCTCCTCTTCTGCGTTAAAGGCTAAACAGAAGAATCATCTCCGTCCGACGACTGGAAACTAATTTTCATACTTTCGAGGTCCGCTCTTGTTCTCAAGTAATCTTCGGTGGTGAGATTCAGTCGCGTTTCTCTCATAATGCTCATTTGATGAGCTATTTCCGCTAATCTTCGTCTTACTCTAGCGACGTCCGACATCAGAAATGGCGCACTAAACATGATTTGTCCAGATTGGAGAATGGCTAGCCCCAAAAAGAGATTACCCATTGGGAATGTCTTGGTAGAGTTTCGGTTTCTGGTATCTCTGCAGTATTGGCTGTCTGTCTCGTCGCTCATCCCAGTAATAATCAGAGGTCGCGAGCCGATTTATCATAGTGTCTTTCGGCATCTGGAAATGTGGTGGAATGACAGAAATATAATAAATACACTTAGAGGACTTACGTTGGAGATGCTTACAGGCAACGAGCAGCTCCATCGTGGATACTTCGATTTAAGATAGTCCAAGTATGAATCCTGCAATTCTTTATTTCCATGGGAAGCCTCCTAACTTATTGATATCTTTTCATTGCAATATGGCAGACAACTCAGCTGAGCTTGCCAGTAGAGAAAATAAAAACGGGAGTTGTAATTTGATGACTTACCCTGCAGTTCTTGACCATTCAGAAATGTTTGAACTTTAATAAACTATTGCAAAATTCAAAAGCTGTCGTTCGATTTGAGTGATGGCTATGTTTCTGGTCAAGTCTAAAAGACTGCAGCGGGCACTATGTAGGTTGAGGCTGCTCGTAGATACTTATTATGTTGCAAATATTTTGGCTTCACATAGAATTCATGTGATCCAAAAAGCAACGGTCTATAAGTGGAAAACTAAAAAATGCATTTCAAAAAACCGATAACATAGACTCTAAAACAGTAACGCTGTATATAAATGCTATCGAACTCCTTAAGTGATTGTTAAGCAGAAAATCTTGTCAAGTCGAATCAAAATTCAAAACCCTTCATTAATTGTCTTGTTTTTATCTCGATGTGTGAAGTCACGTCAAGCAATATATATTTTAGGTGCGAATAAAGACGAGAAAAGAGTGAAGAGTAAGATGACCAACCCTAGCTGCTCTTGCATTTTGCAGTCTCCTCTCCATGGCTCTTATACGAGAATCGAGATCTGCCAACGCATCTCGTTCCTCGGGGAACATCTAAATGGTTGTTATTACCCAAAAAATTCAAACGAGTCGATAGTAACTTACTAGTCATTTATAGTATGGAAAGCAAATATAGAGCAGCGAAGGATTTGGGAAAGAACGTTGAATCCGTGAGCGGGTTTCCATAGCAACGACCCAAGCACCACGTTCAAAAAATAGCCTCACATTGGAAAGCTACCTCTCGCTTTGCATGTCTGAATCAAGCCATTACTTCATTAAAATTTCGTGTGTCAGATAGTGTACTGCATACAATCTCACCCATTTATTTCACACAAAATCTTTCAATAGAACACACATTCAGTTCAGAGACAACCTCAAAGAATTTTCTGAGTCATACTTGAGTGGCAGCGGACAATTCTCAGTGGGTAAGTTGTAAAAGTACAGTTAGACTCTTTTGAGCTTACCAACACGAACAGGGCTTTACTAAGGATTTGAATTATTTCCTGAGACAGCTAAATCTCAAAAGTAAATTTCTGGAGAAAATTTCTTAAGACAGCTGGATCGTAAAAGAATCAATACAGTTTACATCGTTTTGGTGAAGCAGTGAGTTCTTCAAGTTTCTGCTACAAACTAGGCTGGCAAGAAAATTCTCGTACATTTTAGAGTTGACTTTGTCATTTCCCAAAATTACATCTGTAAGATGTAATATATTAGGTTGTAAAAATTCTACCAATTTTTCCCGTAATTATCAAAAATGAATGCGAATACAAGTGGCTGGTTTGAGACGAGTTTTTAGTCTGCGATGGCCTCAGCTCAAGTAGCCTATTCAGCTTTAAAAAAAGAATGATAAACCAAGAAGAAATTATTGAAAAGGAGAAACCGTTGTGCTTAGGTCCGCGAAAAGGCACATGTCAGATACATAATAGTCGCGCAGAACTTGTAGAATCTTAAATTGAAAATTTGTTCTACACTTTCTGTATTGGTAGAGGAAACGATATCTGACTATAACTGCCTCGGTACTTAAGACTTTTTCCAAGCAAAAAATGGCTCATTGATGTCGGGATTTAGAAAATCGAATTTTTTACATGCTTCGAAACGCAGCCAGCGCCTCTTTGGAAAAGATATCCACGATATACATACTCAGTGATCTAAGGTTATTGGTACTCATGACCAAAATATCGTTCATTGACATCCATTTATGATGAAGATCTAAATAAAACAATCCAGTTCAAGCTCTATTGGCAGAATTTTCACAACCTAAAATATCTAAGCACGTGGGAAGAGTTTAGGGTTTTTTCCCAGTTTGCATGTATGTGAATCTCTACCTTACTGGAGCGTGAGAAAGGTTTACGGCATTCACGAAAAGGTCCATTCTGTTCAGCGAAAATCCTAAGTCGAGTTTTACTTTACTTTCATAAAAAATCCATTGATCCATCGCTTGGTGTCCTCTGCCTCTTGTAGGGCTTGCTTTTCTCCAATGAAGACCGCATTCCCACTTAGTAGTCACAACAAAGCAAAAACATAATCGAAAGTCGAGTACAAGGACTTTCTTGTCAACTCAGTAATTAAAAGCAGGAAGGTTACTCCGTACCTCAAAAATGGAGCTGTATGCGCTGGGAATTCAGCGCAACGAAATAGAGGGACACAGCCGCTTTCTTTTTATTAATTCATTGGAGACGCCAAGGGCATTTGATAAGCCTCAGAAGAAACAGAAGGAACGCAAATTACAATGAATGTCGAAAGGCTTGTCTGACCATCTCGGGTGCTGGGAAGGAACCCTCCCAGCACCCGAGATGGTCAGACAAGCCTTTCGACATTCATTGTAATTTGCGCTTTCTGCAAAAAAAATTACAGATGCTTATTATTTGCTATATTATTGATATTATACGCTCGTTTGAGTAGAAATAATCAAAATCAGATAGTTGCAGTAAGATACATGCACACAAAAAACGATTTTCACGCGCCCTTCTATTCTTATGTCTCCAAAGCAAGAAGAAAATACAAACATCTACAAGTTCAAGCAATAAGAAAATACAGCTTGTTGGATAGTAACTACAAATTGATTACGACTGTAAGTCCAACTGCAGATCCAGACATTTTACTTTTATACTTCTTCAGTTTCGTAAGATTAGATATATGTATTCCATTATCCGAGTTTTGAAGGAGGTTCAAAGAATTTCTCTGATCTGTTTGACAAAAAAAACTGCGCGGACCTTGATTGAGGATGTCCTCATTCGACATGGAAAAGGAAATCTAAACCTGGTAAAAAGAAGATTGCAAATGGGTTACCTTTCTTTGAAAAAACGTTCAACAATCTGCGCAAATTTAACATGAAGGCTGGTAAATTGTCAACTTGCAGCAGCTGTTGAGTCAAAGTTACAGTTTTATGAAAAGAAATAAAAGGAATTTGTCTTTCTGTTTCCCCATAACACAGAAAAACTTTCTGCAAGCGTTCTTTCGAGGGAATGAAGCACAAGATTCAACTTCTTGAGCGTGTGCGCATAGTTCTCTTGTGTATGAATGATTATGAGGCGTCTTCATCCGAGATTGAGTAAGAACACTTGGAAGCTGCTGCAAGCCCATTCTGGACTTTTGTAGGAGATAAAGTTTCGCTAACGAAGACGAGGGAACTACCGAGAGGGCTCATAATAAACTGAGTTGGACGACAATTTTTTTTTGGTTTTTTTGATTATAAAAATTCTTGCAGCTTTTAATCTCGGTTTGCTTCTTACCGCGGATCTATCAGGGCGTGTTCATCGCATTATGCATCTAGTGCACACTCACCCAGCAAACATACCTCCAATTTTGCCTTTTTATTTGATTTTTTCCTCTGCCTCCTTGTGCTTTTTCTCTATCATAACTATTTCGGATTGTATTTCGATAGTGTTCCATCTACGCTAGCAATCTCTCACTTCTAGCTATTAAAAACTAGATGAAAAATCATGAAAACATTCAGAAAATTTTGCAGTTCTTCTTTCTATGTGTGTCGTGCAGAAATTGATGCTAAAAATAGAAACAAATTCAAAATTCTTCAAAGATTTTTTTGTTTAAAGTACCAATAATATGTAAAGGTCGTAGTAAGCATCAATCAAGGTTCCAACTCGATATATACGAGCAAAGACTGACCAAGTACTCTACAAAAATGAGCCAATACTTATACGTTGTTGCGCTTTACCGTCAACAAAAAGTCAATGATAAACAAGTGTATTTGTATGATAATCTGCTCAAAAATTTAAGGTGCGCATATCAGTAAGCGTTGCTGCAGGGCTAAAATTTGTCTGCCATTGTGAAACTTTGAAACTTCGAAGAGTTCACAAATTCCTTTTTGCGACAAGTGAATATCTGCTCGGGTTGATAAAAGGGCTGGTGCTTTACTATCGTCTGTTCACAGCTCAGGCGAAGCACACAGGTTGATCAGGCAAAGTAGGGCTCTATGCGCAAAAAAGCGCCGTGATCCTGAGCAATTGGACGATAGCGAGCGGATCCCGAAGATCTCGCTCCTTGCTGAGCTCGGTGACATACCCTCGGTCCCCGATGATGATCTACGCCTGGCTGGACTGAAACGGCGAGTGAAGGGCCAGGATGGAGCGCGGTTCGGGAGACGATCGATCGATGGACAATGGCATCGAGCGGAGAGAGCACATCGAACCGGGAACGTCGAGAGAGGCGTGCGGCTGCGATGGGCGCAGCAGCCAATCGATCGATAGTCGACAATTGCGAGTTGCCTTTCTTCTGTCGGCACACTCCTCGCTTCCCCCACCGAACTTCGATTTCGGTGACGTCCGCTCGAGTCCGGAATCGTTGGCAAGTTGCCGGAAGAATCTCGTCGTTCGCTGCGTCGCCTGAGATTGAGCAGGATCGCCGAGTACGCAGGAATCCGCGCGCAGATGAGCAACAACTTGAAGGTGAAGGTGGACGAGCGGCTCGACATCGCTCGCCTCGTTGAGCAGCACAAAGCTGTGCTTTTCAATGCAGAACTCTCAGGTGGGCCCTGACTTCTCTACGAAAGTCTCTCAGAAAGCTCTCTTCGAAAGTGATCTACATGTAGTTCAGATAAACATCTTCAAAAAGAAGCGCTAAAATTTAGACTTTTCCAATATCACTATTTGGGGGAAGTAGTTTATGTTATCAAATGAATAGTCCTGAAACATTCAGTGCGTAGACCTCATATCTTCTAAAATCATGCGCGATCTTTTGCCCAGCACCGATTTGTCGACTTTCCCCACTGATCATGATTGTGTGGATTTCCACGAAAATACAAATTCCTACTTGTTTTCACTGGAAAACCTGTATAATTTATGTGGGAGAATCGCTTTTGGTAAACAACGTATTGGTGAATAATTCGAGTTTCAGAATTGTTTTGACCTGAGAAGCTACTTGTGGCAAATGATTTTTTTTGCGATATTCCTCTACAGTTGCTAAATGTTGCAGAAAAAAATTTGAGTCAGAAATTAAGTTAGGAGAGCCCTTATCCTAAAAATAGCTGTTAAATCTGTCTATTTTGTAATAAATTTGTTCTTTGAAGTTATCCAAGAAGTTCATTGCTTGACCTAGATTTTGCTTTGAGATAAAATAATCTGCTAATCAATCACTAATCAGTGATCAATATATCCGTCCTAGCTATTTCTGGTACTTACTTTTTCTAACTTTCTCAGGTAGATTCAAAGATAGAATTAAAATTTCGAGTTTTCGAGCTTTTTAAAAAATTAAAACTTCGAGTTTTCGAGCTTCTTATCTTTCCTCTTCAACAAATTTGCACGTTGTCAAATATTTTCATCATGTTTAACATTTCTGTTTAGACTATTTTCATTTTTTCAAAATACTTTCAAAAACGTGAGAAAATAAATCCATATAAGAATAATTTTATTTCAGTGCTTTTCATTTCTACGCGCTCTTAAACCTTCCTTATACATCTCTTATGCCTCACTGAATAGTCAGCAACAGCTTTGGTGGTTATCCTAAATTCTGATGTAAAATTCTGTTTCTCTCTTTTCTGTTTCTTGTGTTTGTTTTCATTCGTTTGTTCGCTGAGTCTTCCCTGCGTCTCATGCTCAAGATCCACTAGTTTTCTTTGAATTCACCTGCAAATTTCACTGAGTTTGTCATTAGCTCAGCAGATATAATTACTCTTACTTTTTTCCAAACTGAAAATTGCGCTTCTGAACTTCATTCGCCAACGTCAAAAATGTTCTCCTTTGCTGGATCAACGTCAAATTTACGAGCGCTGTAGAGTCAACAGACGCTATTGATTGTCCTGGTTTCAGTTTCTCGAAAAAACTTTGATGACGAGATTTTAGTGTGAAGTGCAACTTGTGGAGAATCCATGGTTTCTAATTGGAAAGAACAAGATATCCCCACTATTTCTGGCTCTTGCACCCTGCCCATTTTCCCGCTTTCTGGTTAGAGCCGAGATAGCTGAAAAAAGCAAAAGACGAGCATTTTTTTCCTTTCTCACCCCTTCCCTTTCCCTCTCTTAAATTGGAAACCTGGTTGCAAATTATTTCAAAACTCTTTTTTCTTAACCTCTTTCCTTCTTCGCGCTTGGAAGAATTGTGGCACCTCAAGCAGATAAGCATTCAACTTGGTTCAGTAAAGCTTGCAAGCTTCCAAAACTCGGTCACCATATCCGTGCTGCTTCGCCGTCATCCTCCGTTCTATCGTTTTGCGGAAGCTCCATAAGGGGTCTGAAGGTAGATACTATTCCGTACAGCTGTACCTTCGCTTCTTGATTTTTGGAGTCTCAAGCTTTTTTCGGAAGACCCTAGCCACTGAGATGCATTTGAAACTGTCAGACATGACAAGAGCAGAAAAAATAATTGTGCATGCGTATCAAGTACTCAAGTATAATGCTATGTTTTTTACAAAGTGAATCAATGACTTTTTTTCAACTTCGTTACGATTGCGCTACCGGGAGACCCCGTTATGATGGCTGGGATCAAGATTCGATTCCCACTTTTGGGTCGACAAGGCATTGCACTCTTTCGGAGATCTCAATTTGAAATCAAAGCATTTTCCGATGGCCGACTTCCGCGAATTGCTGCTAAATTTTTTAAAGCCTCCTCCTTGGTCTAGAATATGTTGGAGGAAGTAGTTTTGACGGCACGGGTCCTTCCCACATCTTCTCTTTCTTGATTCAGTTCAATTCTCTTGAGATCATAGGTGCGATGGGGTGATCGGGGTCCCCCGAAAGTGAAGGGTGTCCCAGCTGATTTTGACCCCCTAAAGTGAAGGGTGTCTGGAAAGTGCCGGCGTCGACCGGGAGGGGGGGGGGGTTGAAAAAAATGGTGAAAATTATAAAATTATCCAGTTTGAATGGTCAAATTCTCTAAACTGGATTTGTAAATATAATTAGTGAAATGTTTATAAGTACATTGTTTTGAATTTATATAAATATTATTTTATTTTCATACACCATTTTTCGGTGAGAGGATACATGTTTAGGTGGGTGGAACGTGTAATGTGTAAATGTGATTTCGACCGAAAATTACAATGAACAATGGCAGATACTCGAGGCTTGGAAGGTGCTGAATGAAGTTTTACCTGGAAGTACAAATGTGGATAATGTTAATAAGAGACTCCGCGATGATTAGGAATTATTGTTGCAAATAAATCCGTAAGTCGGTATCTGTGGAGTACAATAAAAAAATTTGTTGCTCAATTGTGTCCACTTGAAGCAGAATAAACATACACAGTGTAGCACAGTGATAAGACTAGTATGACTGATGTCAGGAAAAATTCCTAGGGCAGTAAAGTTGAAGCTACGATGTTGACGATAATTGAGCAAGGCCACTTTTTCTTACTTGTGTAACTTGCAGTAGATCGCCCTCTAGTATAATTCTTGTATAAATGGGCTAAAGCCAATTTTGAGCTAGATTTGGATTCCAGCCTTCAAAAGCTATACAACGATATATAATTTGTGAGGTGCAATATCTTTGCCAGGTGAGATAGTTTCCAGAGGTCCAACGGTACCCCCCCCCTCCACGTCAGAGCCCCATATCTCCACGGTGGGGGCATTTCATGATTTAATTTTTTTTGCATCTTCAAGAGGGAGGTCCATTTAGTATTACCTATACCCTCGCAAAGAGATTCCACGGGAGCGACTGACTTAAATTTCAAATTTACCTGTGTTTTTCAAGCGCATTTTATTCCTTGCTGTAACTCTCCTTCAGTATATCCGATCTTTCTGCGAGGGTATAGGTAAGACTCAGTAAACCTCCCTCTGTAAGACGCAAAAAAAACTGAAGCACGAAATGCCCCCGTCGCCGAGATATGAAGCTGCAAAAAAACCCATCAAAAATCGATTTTTTAAATATAACTCTTATATAAGTAATTAATTCAAAACGGGAATAGTGTAGGTAGATTCGTCTCCTCAAGAGCTTTCGAATGATATATAACATGTGGGGGTTTACTGCTTCCTGGTTGCGGGAAGGGGGGGGGGGGGGTGATCGGTCTCAGTTCAGGGCGATCACCTGGCGGCGCCTCTCCAATGCATTAAGGTGGCGGGGGGTGATCACCCTGAACTGAGACCGATCACCCCCCCCCCCCCCTCGCAGAGCTTAAAAAAATAGGACCCCCACATGCTATATATCATTCGAGAGCTCTTGATGAGTACTATCTACCTATACCCTTCCCATTCAATTTCATTCACGTACATACAAGTTATTTGCAAAAAATCGATTTTTGGAGGCGTGATTTTTGCTCTATTTGCGACTTCATAACTCTAAGAGGAATACTTTTTAGGATCTACTTTTTTTTCTATGTGATAGAGGAAAGGTTCCTTATTAACGCCTATACTCTCGCAAGATGAAATTCTGCAACTTACTCAAATTATACTGACTCAAAAACTGACTTTTCTCAAATTTGGCCAACATTGTGACTGCAACTGTGCTGCCCTAAAAATTTCTCCTGACACCATTTGTACTAATTTTATCATTGTTCTGGACTCTATATCTTTATCTACTTTAAGCGACCACAAATGAACACCATTCTTTTATTGTACTACATAAATATCGGCATAAAATTTTATTTGCAAAAAAATAAAACATGATCAATGCAAGGTCTTTTATTAACATCAACCACATCAATATTCTCCAGGTAAATCTGTCGTCCATCAGCGCCTTTCAGGCCTCCAAAGTAACTGCCATTGTCCGCTGCCCATGTTATTGTCGGTCGAGATCATTTCTATAAGATCTGCGTTCGATCCTTCTGAAAATGCATTTGTTCATTGATATTTTTGTAATTGTGCAGTAATTCCTCACCTTCAAAAAAATTTTTCGTCCGTCAGGTGAAGGGGGGGGGGTGGTCCGACCTCCAAAGTGAAGGGGGGGGGGTGAACTTTTGTTCACCCCATCGCACCTATGCTTGAGATCATAAATTTGCCTTATATACTGCCATGCATTTTGAGGAAAATCTGTCCTAGGCGAACACAAGAACTTCTTTATCGATTTGATTATTTAATAGTGAATCTGATCTGATTGAGAGTAGCTTCAGTTTCTGTTACCGCTATCTGATTTGCTAACAATCTAAATCTCATCTTGCCTTGTTTTCTCTTTTAATGGTCTAAAGCTCTGAACGCATTCTCGAGCGTTAATTATCAGCTCTTTTTGCCTGCCATCCAAATTTGATAAGCTTTTGATGGACTTTTCCTGGAATGCATGCAAAATGCCAATCGCATGAGTTGCAGGATCATCGAAGTTGTGCTGTCATTTTATTTCATTGAGGTCTTTGAGTTTTTTCCTTGTCTCTGATATTTGTTGACGGCATATCACATTGTTTCGGGTGGAATTTTGAGGTCCTGCTCTTGAGCACATCTTGGCAGTCTCATTGAAAATCAACATCATTGCGTTCATTATCTGAGACTGGAGATGGAACAAACTGACGGACATTGAGAAAATGATCTGAACGTGCGCCAGTTGCATCAGCATCTGATAGGATGCACTTCTAAATGGGATATTGCTTACAATGTCAGTGCTGAAAGGGGGGAGGGGGGATTAAGCAAATGTGAATGGCCCGCATGTTAAACCACAGTTGTATTAGATTGTACTTCGAGATACATTGCACTGTTCTCCGTTAAACTTAACAAATATAACATAATATCAAAAATCTGTCTAACAACTGCTTATATTGGCATTCCATCTCTTTCGTACAACTGTATGTGTTGCCGCTCAGTCATATATTGTCATGAAGAAATGCTGCTGTTTCCAAGGTTTGGAAAAACCTGGGTAAATGCAAGCTTCATCAGATGTGCACATAGAATTTGAAAACAGTCATGTCAACTCTGATTCAATCTGTGTGTTGCCATGCACGCCGTTCTGCGATTAAGGAGTATGTAGTGGAGATGCGTGAAGTATATATGCAAAGTCAGAAATATGCAAATGTAAAGTACTGTAAAGTACTCCACTGTAAAGTCTTTGAATGTAGCAGAAAAATCTTAGATTGTGCTCACGTTCAAGTTTTCCTTTTTGAAATAAGTTCACAGAAGAACTTTTGATTAAGAAATCATTGGCGGAGAATCAAGGTTGCCACCTGTCACGTCAAATTCTAGAGAAGGGTAGGAAAAATTCTTTTTTATGAAGAAAAAAATGTTATCTAGATCTGCAAGCAAGCGGTGAGTGTGGCAAGGTTTAGACTTGCCGAATTTTTTTGATCTTGATGAAGTTTTGGGTGGCCCATGGCTGCAGCTCACTACGATGTGTTTGCTAGAGTAGTTTGAGTAGTTTTCGAACGTGATGCAAATCGTCGCACAGAGCTATTTTGCGTCATTATAAATTTTGAACATTCACCCATATGGTCCATAAGTGAAAACAAGTCATCATTATAACTCACGTAGGTTACTATCAGGTTGTCAGGAAAAGATTGACGCCTTTAATTGCTCGCTATGGCACCGCAAACTGGCGCACTGCAGATATGCGTGAGGGATACTGTTTGTTAGAGCAAAGCAAGCTCTACAATCTATATCATTCAATCTTCATTAATCTCTACATTCATGCTTCCTCGCCATCCACTGAAAATTTGACATTAAAATAAAAAAAACTAAATGCTAAAAAATTGAAAAAAAGCGGATCTTTGTCCAGAAAATGCCTACGGTTCTCCCGCTCGCGCATTATACTTTTTACATTGGACATTCACATGTACACTTGTTTATTTATTTGCTCGACTCAAAACAGAAAAACGAACCTCTCACGGTTTTTCAAGAGCAGTGCGTAGCCGTTCTGTCTTAGTAGATTCTATACGACAAGCCTGAGTATAACTGTAAACCTCCTCTGAGTTTATACGCTGAAATCGCTATTTTTAAAAGGCGCTCGGAATAGCTAAAATTTTATTGTTATACTTACTGGCTCACTGGTGACTTACTTATTGGCTTGTAGTATAGAATTGCCTATGACGGCTCAGCATGGCTTTGAAAAAACACAAAAATTGTTTTCTTGATCTACTGTCTTGGGCATATAGGGGCACACCTAATTTTTTTTATTTTCTCTTTAAAGGCAGGCCTTTCAATTCTTTTATAGCACTTCCCAAAAATTGTTCAAGACGTGGCTCATCTTGTACACCTATAAGCAAGTGAAGATCATGCATGCGCAGATCTCATTCACACTAGATATGCGAACAATTTCGCAGCTGCTCATTGTCTTTTGTATGAAGATGAATACAAATAAATTTGATTGCGTAATGTGCGTGAAATGTTAGTTATAAATATTTTTCCGCAAAGTTCTAGCAACAACATAGAATATACCCCCGACTGCTTTCGAATGAAAGTTATTTCTTCTTACTTTCGGCATCTGGCATTATGTTCAGAAGGTGGAAAATGTTTTTTTTCTTTCAGAAGAGCAGAAAACAGAGGCATGGTCTCGCATCTTGACTGAATGCGCGCTTCGAGGGCATCACTGGGTGAAAGGCAAAGATGTGACATATTTGAAGAAATCAAAATGGCCGGGAATCAAACGAGATGCCATTGTAAGTGTTTTACGGGCTAATTACTAGTCAGACAATCGTTTTTTGTTTGAATTATTAACTGGGACCAACCTTGCATGCTTATAATTTGCCGATCGGGTGGAAGTTTTTCTCATGCCATTAGGGGCTTATCCTTTTTCTTTCAAGCAAAGTAAATACAGTTTCCGAGTCTCAGAAGCATATTTGATCGGTAACAATATAATGGTATGAGAATGCTGAATATGTGAGAGGTATTGTGTTTGGCTCTCTTTCTCTTTGCCATTGTCATACTGCTACGGGCAGAAACGAATCGAATTTAATTTTTTCTTCCGTCGTCCTATGATATTAGTATGATTTGGACATTGTGAGTTTAGAAAGCGGCTTGTGTAAAAGAATAGTTCATGTGCTTATCTATGTTCTATAATTCTTCGCAGTTATAATTACCCTATTTTCAGGTGTATAAGCCGCACTCTTTTTGCTCTAAACGCGAGCAGACCCAGGCGTGCCGCCGCGTATATGTCTCGCGAAGCGGTCGCCTTATCGCATCCTGCTCTCACTTAAAGGCAGTGTCCAGGCTAAACCTAACCCCCTCCGATCAGTGTCGATCCTGAATGCAGGCCCCCGAAAAAGGCCATCTCCGTTGGTCCGGTCTTCTAACGTTGTCCCTGAAAGGAGATAGGGGGCCTCAAAGTCCCTGGCTGGGCGGAGTCTGATATCAGACTCCGCCCACCAGGGACTGCTCACTAACTTGTCAATACGTGCCTCCCGACACGTATTGACAAGGTAGTGAGCAGGAGCTGCACATCGCACCCTGCAATGCAACTGCACCCATGCAGTTGCAGCTCCTTCCCGCTGGCCTGCCGACGGGGACTAGCGATTCGAAACTCGTCCACTCCCTCAAGAAAGGGTCCCCAGGAATCGGGTGTTTTGTGAATTTTGGCGAATTTGAAGTTCAGAACTGTAATCAGGGCCACGGAAAGGCCCCAGAATGACGAAAATATGGGAGGCCAAATTCTGGGTGGACGCTGCCTTTAACGCGCTCCATGATGACAGTCAGTCTTTTAGCGCCTTTAAAGTGAAAAGGGTGCGGCTTATTTATTCACCTGAAAATAGGGTACTCCTAGTTTTTTTTTTTGCGTTTCAAAATCTTATGCAGTCCCAGCTGAAGAATCCATCGTCAAAGAATATGTAATATCTACGGGGGTTTTCATGACTCCAAGTGGGCAAATTTTCGCCAAACAATCCTTATATGTTCTTTATCGGGGTGGGGGGGGGGGGAGGAGGGAAAGTGGAAGCTTTTTGTCGGATGATCATGGAAGAGACGGTGCATCACCTTATACTGTCAATAATCTATTAACGATAATTAGCCCTTATGGCAGTGCAGGCAGTGCAGAAGGTGTCTGGCGAACGCTGGAGGGGGGGGGGGGGTTCTCCTTTGAAGATTAAGGGCGACACTTTTGTAGATAAAAATGTCTTCCCAATGCTCCATAAAAATGGAGGTCTTGAGCTAATCTAACTTTTTCACAAAATCGAATAATTATTGTTTAATAAAAAGCAAAGCTTTACTTGCATTATCCCGGAATTTATATGGGCAGTGTTAACAAATTTGCGAAACGTCTGCCAAAGCTGGGGTTGGTTAGTTATATCAACAAATTTCATTACTTGATTTTATAAAAATTCTGAAAGTTTATTGAAATTTCCAAGCCTGCCTGTGCTTCAGGAACATTATCAAGCTGATCTGAAAAGCGACGTTTCGCATAGGAAAAAATTAACGGAAGCAGATGTGATTGTGCTGAGGGCAATCAGTTTTGACACTGAAAACTTAGGTGAGTGAGCGAAAGCACAATAAATATAGATTTGCACCTGCGTCTTTGGGGATGAAATGTATGGATTGAATTTTGCAGGTTCAATAGCTGAAAAAGAGACCCCGAGTACTGCAACCTCTGAACCGCGGCACGATGGGGACGTAACACAGCCGGTGACCGTGGAGGTAAAGGCCGGTGAGCCACTAGACTTACTGGCATGTGGCATGCATTTCAATGAAGGTACGGTCGTAAATGATCTAGCACGTAGTTATCTTCTTCGGCTCGCAATCTACCCACAGTTTTGGAAGCAGGAGTTAGCGTTAAAGTTGCAGCTCAAAATTGTACTACATGAGGGCAGGGGCGGTCCGAGAAATTTTTTGGGATGGGTTGGCGATTGAAAATTTTTGTTGTGAAGGAGCTGAGTTGTACTTCAAAAAACTCCAAAATTTTCTCCATCGATTAAGACAAAAACATCATTTGCGCAATTCTGAAACCCAAAAATCTAAGCGTAATAAGCCACGCCCCATGTCTGCTTGATCCAGAGCCTAGCTCACTAGGCTCAGGCATTTTCAGTTTTGCCGATCCCCTCCTGTAGAGGCAGTTCCGAATGCAGCCTAGATTTTTACTGCTGATGGGCGATTATAAGTCTGTTCGGAGTGGATGCGGTTGTGAAAACTATATGAGATTAAGACTATATGCATTTTTATTCCCCCCTATGGCTGAAAGTTGAATGGAGGAAGTTCGCTAGACGGTTGGGACGGACATCTTGGTTTGCAACAGACATAATGAGTGGTCTGGCTATTTAGGCGGCGGTGTAAAAGCTAATCCAAGCTGAAGGCGGTCGCCAACGTATGCTATGCGAGGCGTGCGGGCGTGCCAGCTCCAATGATGAAAGATGCTCAAACATGCCGGTCGAAGCCGCGTCGCACATCGAACCGACCTCCTTCGTCATGGAAGAACTTTTACATATAAGTGGCATCGAGTAAAGCGCTTCGATTTTTCCGAGTTGGGAGAGTTTGATGGTCTCAATCATGGGGCCTCAAAATTTAGCAATTTTCGCCAACTTTAGACGCCCTATATATTTTTGTACTTCGATGCTCGAAATCACCAAATCGCATTTTTTACAGAAGACAAGAAGCCTGATAGTGGCTTGCTCATCGATCTGTTCTCAAAAAACCAGAATTCTGCTAGAAAATTGCAGATTCCACCAGTTGAGCAGGTCAGTTTTGGTTAGGGAGATCTCATCTACTAGCTGAAGCGTTTACTAAAATGTTTACTCTCTACAGAAGGAGTGATTTGGTTTTAAAAGAGCAGAAACCGCTCATGGCACAGAAGATTTTTTCACATCCATTTCATCTCTGTATGGTTTCACTTTTAGGAACACCGATATTCAAAGCGTCAACGTGTAGAGGATGATGGTCCGATAGATCACGACCTTATGGCTGCTTTAGGATTCGGAAAGAACCGTCAAAGAAGTAAGCATTCAATGCAAACATGATTCTTTGCCAGTTGTAGAGGTAATGAGCAGATTAGCATTCTGTTGACTAGCCTTCTGAGTTTGCCTCGCGAAAGTCCCCCTATCGACCTTTCTTGAAACTCAGGCAAGAGGAAGTTGTGGAAGAACTTGCCCCGTGCTTATGCGCACATGATTTTTGATAAAGCAATAAGACTTCTCAAACCGCTGGGAAATTTGCTACCATAACTAGTATAGACGCTTTTGAACTAAGTTCTAGTAGACAACAAATCTTGCAGAAAAGCGCTGGGAACATGCAGTTTGTTTTGAGTAGAGCATTCTTCACAGTAACAATCAGCTTTGAGATTGGTACCTTTAACTGAAGTCCTAGTGTAACTATAAACATTTGCAGTGGATCAGTCTCATCTCTCCAGGAATTCCTAATTTTTTGACTCTTGCACTTTTTTTTCGCGAAACCAACAGTCAGCGTACCAATAGAACAATTAGATTTCGCGGAGAAACTATTAGGATTTATAAACCATCCCAGACACAAAAACATTTTTGGGATCTCATCTGCGATTTTTTGTGCATAAAACGATATTTCCAAATGTGAAGATACACAAGTTTTCAGTTCAGTTTTTGAATGTCGTCTTCAGCAAATCGTACGCGATTTTTGCAGCTCTTTTGCTGCATTATAGTCAATCGTTGACTTCGAAATTGCGGAAAGCAGTCAAAATTTTGTTGAAATAGAGCAATTTCCAGAAGTTGTCCACAACAGTGAAGGTGCGCACAACCTCCCTTCTATTATGATTGTTATTTTTGTGTCCTGAAAGTCGTGAAGCAGGTGAAGGAAAACGAAAAATCCTTTGAATGTTTCATTACCTGGATAGCACCTTATGGCATTATGTACTTGCATACACAATTATTTTGTAGACAACAACGTAGACAATGATGTGAAACGGAATGAGCATGTAACTACGATCGGAGATGTAAGTGTAAACTTATTTTTACATGTCATGAAAATATATACGATGAAATATCCCAGTATCTCCGCTCTGTGACGACGTTCCCACTTCCGAAAGAAGATAATCACGTTGGTGCACTCCATTCGCCAATATCCATAGAACGCAAACCTTCGGCAGATCCTCCAAAATGTGTAGTCCCTCTGCACAAATGTAGGCAAAACTGTAATTCCGTGAGTTTTGGAAAATAATTTACCCTCCACTTTTTGCAGCAATCGCGACTACGCCTTCACCGTCGGCCCCAGCCTCCTCAAAGGATAATTGTCGCGACGTGAGGTTTTTGCAGAAAAGGGCTTACGAAGCACAAATTGCGAGAGTAAGCGCTGCCCTTTGTTCTGAGCTTTTGACATGATATATAGCCTTTGCAGGAAGAAGCGATGACAAAGTATTATCAGCTGAAGATGAAGAAGTTGGAGCTTGAAATAGAACAGCTGCAGCAAAGTAAAGTGAAAGTTGAGAATGTAAACAACAATATGAGCGAATGAGACTTGCCTTTCACATTCCTCTTAGTCCTTGCCTTGTTACCTCGTTCCGGGCTGATCTCTGCCTTTCGCACACTTTTCAAAGCTTTTTAGCGGGTCATAAATAGATAGTTGTAGTCGATTTTACCGGTTATCAAATGTTATGGTTCTGTACCTGTTTAGAGTCAACTCGAAGTTTTATGATACTAACATATGTAGCGAGTAAACTTTTCTTTGGCCTTGTACTCCTGCGGCACCGTCTTCAATGTAGGAAAAGTTAATAGCCAAGTTTGGCTTTCCACTTTGATGTGAGTGATATGCTTTGCTGTTCTTCATGCGCCGATGTATCTGTTGTTTGACCTTTTGATCAAGTGTCTGAAGCGCTTTGTTTGAAGTAAGAATTATGTGAACTATACAAGGCACCTCACTAGTTCAGTCATTCGTTGTCACGGGAAGAATTTCTGGACAGTCTTGGATTCAGAAATAGGGCTCGGCACGAGGTGGCTTTCCGAAAATGCAAAAAAACGAAGTCCCCCTTGACTTTCGCAAAATTTTACGAAGTCCTCTTCCACCCTAAAATATAAACGTAAAAAACCTCATAAAAACTAAACGTCGACTGAATAATAAAGGGTAACCTAGGTTGTGTTTTTTCTGCCGCAAAAACGATATTCCCTTTGCTTTTTGTCCCAAAAACGAAATTCAGCTTGCTCATAAGCTACCTGTGCCGAGCATTGTTCTGGAGTTCAGTCATTCCATAACCGTCTATATGGCTGAATCCGTGGCTGTACAGGGAGTACATACCACAGCTTCACTATTACTTGAGCCACCTGATCCAGATCCATTCTGGATCTGAGTGCGTAATCTGAGTGCCCACCTCTGAAGAGGAAGTGGCCGCGATCAAACGGCTTCTAACTAGTAACTAAAGTTCCCACAGCGTTCAGCAGCGCAAAAATTTCGCACACTGATTTCGTTTGGAGGTGATCCCGATCGTGAAAAGTATGAGCTAAGGAATGATGCCGTATCGTGGAATGGAAATTGGATATTCTGTCTCTCACAGTTCCTCCTTCAATCACTATAGGTCGTGAAATCTCGAAATAGGTGGAAAGGATCTAAAAGGAAGGAAATAGGCCAATTATTGTTGCAGTGGGTTTATGCGTTTTTACGTATTTTCTCTAGGAGACTGCAGTAAAAGCAGCCACTTCGTCGACATGTTCTTTTACTATGTCTCGCTTCACTAAATCTCCTTTTTACAAACCCTCTTGTTCATTTCTCTCATTGTCATCTAACTGCGCAAAGATTATCGTGCTACGAAGATTGCGGAAGAATTTAAGTTGAAGCTTTCGCTGATATTCAGTGATTCATGAAACCCCACACATGTTCTGGACACAAAGCTATGTAGATTGTTAGATTCGCGTATTATCTGTTGCCCTCCTGAAAGCCTGAGCAGTAGTAATCCTTCAACTTAGAACGCTAATGGAAACTTGCATCTTCATTTATTGCCCTCCATCAATCACCAAATGATGTTACTATTGAGTGAGCAGAAGAAACTCTTCGCCGTCGCCGCTGATTCAAACGTTTGTCTGCTTGCACTTCGTCTAACCTCTTTGTGACTAACGCCAACAACCGTTTTTTCCAAGCCGGGAAAGGTCTTCCGATAGAGATCAGATCGTTTATGTGAAGGAAATCAAATCTCGGAACTGCTTTCTTGACACTAGCGAATCACCCTTTGATGGAAAAGATTGATGCGCGAATTTTCGACTCTATGGCTGATTTACAACTGTTTTATCGCATGTTGCGTGCAGCGGCCGGCGTCCTTTCATCTCTCGACTCTGAGCTTTCAGATCGCTATTCGAATAGCTTTCATTGCTTTCTTCAGTACATATAGCTTACATCAATAGATTATGCTGGTGAACTTCGATGAAACAGAACTTCCTGCGGCTCACAGATCTCCTGTTAGATTCTGCAGAGAAAAGAGTGTGATTGAAGCTCTGGAAGTCAGCTAATGTACAGGGTCCAGCAAGAGGTCGCATTCGAAAATCCTTAGAACGAAGTCCCCTTAGAGATCGCAGCGATTTACGAATAACCCTTTGTGGATTTTGTAGAAGTACGGTTTATAATGTGCAGCGAAGTGTGAGGGATAAAAGTGAAGAAAAAAAATAAGAAAGTTAAATATAAAACATCAAAAGGCGAAAAAAGAGAGGTTTTTATACCATTAAGAACCATAGCAAAGCAGAGGGGATGAAACTGATGTCAAAATAAGTGAACAGGTACAGAACATGAAATATTAGGTTGATGCAAAAGTTCTTTCCCCCCATTTTCAAAAATTCATAACTTCCGATTTTTTCAACCAATTCGTCTGCATTTATTTTTGTATGAAAGAGTAACTCATGCTTTTCATAATGACTTCTTAGCTGCTTGCTAATGGTCATTTGTTGCATAGATAGGAGCGATAGAAGAAAATTGGTCAAAATTTAAATTTTCTGTGTAGGGTCATAAAAAATCGGAAACTTGCTATAAAAATCGGAGCAGTCAATATTGTAGGTTCTTTTACCAGCTCTTTCTAATGGTGCAAAGTTTGCGTCGATTGAGCGTCTCTATCAAAAGTTATGATTTTTGAGCAAGCAGTACAAAAGGGCGATTTTGGTTTATTTTGGCATTTTTCAGGAAAATCATAACTTTTCGTAGAGACGCTCAATCAGCGCAAACTTTGCACAGTTAGAAAGAGCGGTTAGTAAAACCTACAATACTGACTGCTCCGATTTTTATAGCAAGTTTCCGATTTTTTATGACCCTACACAGAAAATTTAAATTTTGACCAATTTTCTTCTATCGCTCCCATCTATGCAACAAATGACCATTAGCAAGCAGCTAAGAAGTCATTATGAAAAGCATGAGTTACTCTTTCATACGAAAATAAATGCAGCCAAATTGGTTCAAAAAACCGGAAGTTATGAATTTTTGAAAATGGGGGGAAAGAACTTTTGCATCAACCTAATATTTGAAAAATTATGTGAGAAAGTCGATAAATTATGACTTTGTTTAGTCCCGCGCAACCTTAGGGTGCTCTCAGGTTGCGCGGGAGCAACCTAAATTAGAAAAACACTTACAACTCCTTCCCCTCACATAATTTTTCCATAAATTTTCATACTTTTGTTTTCATCATCGTCGCAAAGCTATACACCAAATTTGATGGCTCAATATCGCTTAGTCTTAATAAAGAAACTAATTTTTTATTTTTTATGTACGCATATCATGTCCTAACAAGGGCCTCGTGTGCGAAAAATTCCTGCAATCATGTTTGTAACCTGTTAATTTACCTGTTACCGGTAAAATGACATTAGAAATTAAAACTCGAGTTTAGAGTAAGGATTTGCTGGACAATATTTTGTCAGACAAGGAGAACACCCTTGGAAACTTTACGATTTTCCTCTTGCTTTCCCCTCAAAAAACGATATCCAGCATGTGAAAGCGCCACCTCTGCTGAGCCCTGCTGATGTATAGATAAATGGTTGGAATATATCGCCTGCTCGTCGTTGTCTTGCCGTTTATTTCTTATCTCAGAGTGTTGCTAGTAGGATAATGTACAAGTCGATGAGAACTATCACTACATTCAAAACTTTTAGAAGCTATCACGATCGAGCCGATCCATTCGGTGTTCAAGAAATATATCGACTCAACTTGAGTGCTCAGTACTTGTTCTGGAAGCATACTATAAAGAGTAATTACTGTGAAGAGAGGCGCGGAAAACATGAACCTATGTAACCTCATAACTTCTAGACTCATTGTAGATGTATGATTATATTCAGTATTAAAGTTCGCCAACTTCGTTTTTGAATCAGGGAGAACTTCAAAAAATATTAACTGTAAGATGGTCGACTGTTCTTGAGCGCAGATTGTTCTTTTCATCACTAAATGGTGATGTGGAAATGAAGTGGAAACCCAGAATGCCACAAAAACACTTGAGAAGAATGTGGAATCTACAGATGGTATGCACAGATATATTTGATTTTTATAACACAGGTTACTTATTGTAAGTAGGCTACCCAAAAATGAACACTCGTGCACGAATGTTAGAAAGTTGCACATTTTTATCTGGAGCAATCTACAAAGTGCAGTTTGATCTTCATTGTGGTTCGCCATAATCAAAGCTTGATTGTATAGAATCTGAATTCTCGTCTTTAGAACATGGAAAGTCTAGATTTGAAAACTAGCTATATGAAGGACATTATTATCACTTATTGATAGAAAATTTCGAACAGTTTATATGTGCTAGTAGAGGTTTGAAGCTATCTCACTGCAAAAGATCTTAAGTAAATAATGGCAGCTATTCAAATTGTTATAGAAGTCATATCCGTACATCAGGACAAAATCATTCATTATCCAATCAAGTCTTGAAATACTGAGGCCCGATATAGATTTTGTAGCCAATGTAATTGCATCAGCCATATAACGTCTTACTGGATTCACCGATGAGCGCAGAGGAGAGTTAGTATCTGCTGAACTTAGAAGAGAGTTGCTACAAGTCCATGAGATGCTCTATAGAGTACAAGGAAAGGGAGAACTGTAGATCGTACTGTAACCATCAAAGTTCGCTGCTCGTGAAAGATTTACTACAGATGAAATCTGGTTTTTAGTCACTTATGGTTATGTGTCGTTTGAGTTGAGATTACTAGTTCTTTAGATTCTGTAAATGTTTCTATCGTTTTTCCAGAGTTTTACATATGTTTTGCTTCACGCAGAAACTCTCTGCTTTTCGTCTTCTGTCTGCTTGCGTCTACACTTCGCAACACACAGGCGGCGGACTTGACAGGGCGTTTGCCAGGGTGCGGCACGCCTTTGATCTCGTCGCGTACCACTCCCTCAGCTGAACAGCTACAGAGCGAAAAACGCGCTCGACTTCGGCCACATTTCTTGCCAAGCGCAGCTTCGAGGGCTTGACCCTCCCCGATTCTTCACGCAGCCGTCGCAGTCGGCTGTCAGCGCCGCTGCCACTTCAGCGTCGAGCGCCTGGCTCGACAGCTCGAGATTTATGTCGCCGTGTTTTTGCGCGAACTGTCACCTCGTCGTCAACTCATCATTTCTCCGACTGCAATCACTGATTTGTTTTTAGAATAAATCGACCGTATAAGCTGCTGCAACTACCTTCGGTTCAGAGTGCTAGCGACGAGCCATTATGGTACTGGGCACGTCATTTTTCTACTTCTTCCAGATGCTGAACAATTGGCCGAGGGTGCTGATGTTTATCTGGGAGAACTCGGTACTTCACATAGCTTCTCTACTGCTATAACCCACCTTATGCTAAGCTTAATCCCTTTAAGCGCGCTTCCCAGATTACCCAGATGGTCATAGATGTGGAAATTCTTTCGAGTTCATTGAACCTCCACCATAACCGCCTCATCAACTCGCCAACGGACTTCGAGCAATTCTATGGACTCAAGAACATCTCGTCCTGCGTCTTCTCGGCCCCACCTAATGCCACCTACCACTGGCAGCACTTCTTTGAAGGCGAGAAACTGAGCAATTTGCAAACGAAAACTTGCTACGTGACTCTGCGCTGCGTAAAAGAGGTGGGTTATCCATTAGGTTCACTGATAATCGCCTCTGATATGCTCCAAAGTGCCCCTCTGAACTTCGCCGCTTGCTAATTATCATTCATCTCCTCTTTGCTTTCGTAGCTATTTCTTGAGTACTTCACAACTTCAAAGAGCGGCAGGTTCTGTGAGAAAAAGAAAAAATGCCGTGCATCGCTTTGATGCATGCTTAGATTTAGTAATCGTATACACAAGTGAAGCACTTAGGAGATAGCCGAAAACAAATACATCTCATTAGCCACCAAAAGCACAGCAGTTTGCGGAAGAAGCGAGGTCTCTAAAGGGTTTACTTCATTAAGTACGAACTGAATTCATTTTTTTTCGAATATTTTCATTTTCAAAAAGTAGTGGTAACCTTTGCGTAATTAAGTAGGAATGCTTAGAAAGAATTCTATGAGAAGACTACAAAAAACTTGCGAACTTTAATTCTACGAAACTCTGTGAACTCAACAAGTTATGGAAAGTGCTTTTTAGCCTAGTTGTTTGAATGATTTGTTCAACTGAAGACCTTAAGGACAAGCTTGGAAGACTAGAACTTTGGCCTTGGGAAAGTTACTCTTAGCAGTTGGTAGTTCACGCTATTGCCATACTTTCTTTACCATAAGTGAAAAGATACTAATCTACTAGACATGATTATGCAAGCATGCTCTCCAACTTCAGCTTCGTGTGACGACACTTATTAGGTTATCTTAAAAGTAAACTCTTTTCTTTGATAATCCAAGCTTTTATTTTCCTAGTATACTTAGGGTATCATTCGGTAGAGCAGATCAAGCTCTACAAAGATCACCAAGGATTCGCCTAATTCGCATTCCATGTAAAGTTTAAAACCAAAATCGAAAAAAATTTTGTCATCTGAAAACTGAATTCTTAGAAAAAATCTTAAGGACCTGCAACTTAGTCGATACTCAGTAGGAACATAGTAGTCCTCAAGTAAGGCCTTACTGGATTTCTTTCGCGCATAGAAAGCGAGAAATAGCCGAAAAATGGCAAACTCCGCCCCCAGAACATTGTATACTACAGTCCTTAGATAGTGTTGAAACTTTACACTGTATGTGCTGTTAAAATCAAGAAATACCAAGTTTTACATGAAAAACGCGAAAAAAGTGGCATTTTGGTATATTCGGACCATCTTTGTTTCTTGATTTGAGCCCGGAAAAAATTCATCACTTACATTTTTGGACACTACTGTGTGTCTACTATGTGAAGACCAAATGGGAAGTCCGTAAAAATTTTCTGAGGAGATCCGATTTTTGGAATAGTTGAAAAATTTTAATTGTTGGCTCTAAATTTTATCTGGGTTACGACATAGATGGATTTTTGGTGGTCTTTTTTAGAGCTTGCTCCGTTCTATCAAATGGTATCCTAAATCTGTTAGGAAAACAGAAACAGCTCAATTTATTTGAAAATGGAGTTTTTTGGGACAAAATAATAGTTTCGAAACCCATTTGTTTTTGAGCGTCCTCGAAAACTTTGCGACACGACTTTGCTTCAGTAAGTCTATCTAGTCTAGTTTATCCTTTTTAGGGCACGCATACCGTACACCTATCCGTAACAAACTCGCGAGGTGAGATCATCAGCGCAGGAAGTAAAACATTCGAATCTCATCCCAGATGGGTGGCTATTGTTGGTGACTCGTTCGCTTCTGGTGAAGGGAATCCTGATGTTCAACAAAGAGAAGACCACAGAGCACAATGGTTAGATGGTAAGAATTATAATAGCTTTCTAAGTGCCAGTTCATTGCTGAAATCCCTTTAGCTCTTAACCTTTACATGCAAAAGTGAGCAAAATGCGCATGGTTTGCTCAATCGTTCACTCGCAGTTCTTCGGGGTGCTCAAGCTTTTTGCGAAAAAGCGTAACCATAAAGCACTCAATCGCATCAAACTTCAGCCGCGTAAAGTATCGTCACACTCTTTACCGTACACGAGGCATCTGGCGGCTCCTTTGATCTGGCGCAGTTATGGCAATTAGGCTTTGCTTTCATCTCGCCGCACCGCGTGTTTCTCCTCAGGGCACAGTTGAAAGCAATCGAGGAGGCTGCTTTGCCCACTCTGAAAAGCCCCTAAAATCCTTGACTGGCAATTCAGGGAGATGCCATCGCTCCGGCAAGTCGTTCGCCGCACAGGTGTTCAGGGAGATCCAGAGCGTGAAGCAAGATCTCTATCTAACCTACCTGGCTTGCGCAGGAGCCACTGTGGAGAGCGGACTTCTAAAGGTGAAGGGCCAGCTTAGCCAGCTCGACGTACTCGAAAGCATCTCAACAATGAGGTGAGCGCAGCTAACAAAATATGGGTACCATTGGCGGTCCAATAAATTCTATTCGGCAACAGATTTTCTTCCAATTGAAGCGACGTGATCTTAGCCACTCTCTCCGAATGTTTTTAGAATTATTTCATAATTTGGCTGTCCTATAACCCCAAAAATCCATAGAAAGATCTGGGCTTCTGCCACGTCCCCAAAAAAATTCACAAAGCTAAAATGATTTGTAAAGTTTCAGAAATCACCAATGTTTACAAAGAAATCGCTTGCGCAAACAGATTTTTTTGAACCACTTTTGAAATTTCATGATCCCGACTTCTCTCCTCTTGGTCAATAACTCACAGAGCAGTGGCGGTCCGAGAGGGGAGGCCCCCCGCCCCGAGAATGAGTCGCGAAATTTTTAAAATTCACTTACATTATAAAAATGTGCAATTGACTTGCTTATTCTAGTAGATAATTATATAATTTTTTTTAAATTTTTCAAAATCAAATAAGCCTTGGAAAAAAAATTTTCGGGGGCGTGGCGGCTGTCACCACCCCCCCCCCCCTTTTTCCAGATTTCAGGGGCTATGGGTCCGCAAAAATATTCAGAAGCACCCCAATAGATTTTTCGGGGTGCATGGCTAACCCCACGCATCTTCACTGAAAAAAATTTTTTGTCGCGCCTCCCCCGGACGGAAATTTTGGGACCGCCACTGTCACGGTTATCTTTTGGCGACAAACACACTTCAAAAGATTGTGGAAGCCAATTATGATCCTAGGCTTTCCCTCGTCTGACATCTATCTACTCGTAAACAACGGAAAAAAATGTTAGTGACTAGTGGCTCGCCAGTGAAGTGATCGAAAATAAATGTTCCTCAAAATGTCTCTCTTTCTATTGTGCTAAAATGGATGAGCGACAAGAAACCGCAAAGCGCAAAAACCTACAAAAGACGGCAGATATGACAACGTCACCGCTCATAAATCTTTAGCTAGTTTGATTGCCAAACAGTTTCAATTGAGTGTTTTAACTACAAATCACTTTTATCTCTACCTTCCTTACACCTGAGCGTTGTGGTATGCGATACATGTTGTGTTACGCAGTATTTGCAACTAACAGCTTAGCTTTCTAGAATTCAAATTTAATCGTGAAAGATATATGCAGGCCTGGAGCAAATCTTTGCATTAATTTTTTGTGTAGATCCACTGCGATGTAAAAGAAATAAACTGCAAAAATGCGTTTCGATTTATAGAACCTTACCCACAATGTTTATGTTGTTATTGCAGATTACAACTCAAAAAAATCTGGGTCGGTAGTAATCTGGTCGAAACTCCGAGTTTGAAGCTCCGCGTTAACTCAGAGATAACTCTGAGTTCCGTTTCTGAAACTCTGAGTTACGCTTATTGAAACTCTGAGTTCCGCTTTCGTAATTCCGAATTCCAACTCTCAAGCTCGGAGTTTTGCTTTGAGGAGCTGTTGAGCACTTTGCTGCAAAAGCGACGTTAAAGTAGGGACTCGAACCTGTATGGTCTAGCGTAAAGATCCTCTCACTAAACCGCTAGACCATGACACACCCACGAACCCTAAAATTGCTTTGCCATAATGTACTCACTCATTCCATTAACACTTAGCAGGTCAAAACAAGTTATACCAAAGCCTCACTCATTTCCATTTCTATCGGGCAATGATGGTTCATCACGAGGATTGGTCTTTTGCGCAGCTGAAAGCTTCAAACAATAGAGAAAGCGGATGGCATACGCAATGATAAGAATTGACTATTAGGATTTGCGCACAGAATAAATCCTCCGGGCAAAGTTTGCATTTCCATGATTTCGTCTTACTTACCGTATACCTACCGTAACCTTCCATATGTCACCAGTGTATGTAGCAGATAGATTGTCCGTAATCTGCATCCCGAATAACTCCAGTGTACCAAATTTCGGCTAATTCCGCCGCTTTAATTCATCTACCGTAAACCTACCGTAACCTCGTCAGATGGCACTGCAGTATAATCTACATGTCATATTCGTTATCGGTGCCCCGAATAAACCCAGTGTACCAAGTTTCGATCAGTTTCGTGATTTTCTCCCATCTACCGTAAACCTACCGTAACACCTCTACATGACCCCTTAGTAAAAAATGGGTACCATGTGCGTGATTAGCGCACCGAATAACCCCCTGGGCCAAGTTTTTACAAAATTTCAAAATTTTGTAAATTACTGCGCACCACGATACCCCCATCATGCCTGCTTAAACTACGAGCAAAATGTACCCCGGAGGACTTTTTAGCTGCCCCTCTTCTTTTGCGCACTATTTCTCTTTCTCTGACCAAACTCAGAGTTATCTGTGAGTTCCACGATAGACTGGAACTCGCACCAAACTCAGAGTTATCGCAGACACTAGTTGCGCGTTTGGTGGCGCTGTTTCTTGTGCAGGACGATTTGGACAATGTTGCGCTACTAGGAATAAACTACGTGTTAAGGAGAATCCTGCCATATCATCGCTTTCCGGATATGATCTGTTCAAACACCTGTTAAGGGGGTCAAAAAGTTGCGCGTTAGCTCAGAGATAACTCAGAGTTAACTCTGAGTTATAACTCTGAGTTTCGATAGGTTTACTACCGACCCTGGCTTTCAGGAGAACATACACTATATATATATAGAACATATACTTCTTTACACATGCTATATAGAAATTTACTTTATAGAATCGAGAAATTGTCAAGAAAATAATTTCGATTGCTTTTATGTATGAGTGAGTTCAATTTCAGGACTAAATGTACATGAGGGCTTTAGATTTTTAGGGAGTTTTGTACCGAGAGCTAATAGTTCCTTCCAGAGAATTTGGTTCATGCTCTTTACTTCTGAAGTTTCGCTGGCTACAGCCATTTCTCAAAATTTTATTGCTTCAGAGGACGAGGGCCGGACATTGCTATTCTTACTGCAGGTGGCAATGATATCGGCTTTTCTGATATCATCAACTCTCTTCTCCATGAGAGTTCTAAAGCCGTTGTGGGCTTACTGGACATGAGGTCTATTCAGCTTTACCTTTGCGTATTTTTTAGAATTTGGAGGTGCTTCATTGAATAATAAGTTTAGGTTCTTCTTCGTCTCGCACCTTCTGGACAATGTTGCTGAGCGCTTCAATGCTTTGGGTGCTCGAAACATCTTTGTTCCGCAATACTTCGATTTCACTAAGAACGAACGTGGTGAGGTCGATGCAAGCTGCCTAGCATATGGAGAGGTAAGAATTATATTATCATCGAGATAATGATTCATCTCGCAGACTTGGATTTGGAACAAGGTCGATCCTGACTTTTTTCACACGCACAGCTTTCAGTTGGTATGCCTTCTACCCTTTGTCTACCATCTGCTCTAATGTATGAAGTTTTCTATCGGAGGTGGTCAAAACCTGAAAGCGTTTCATAATCCCTTTTAGTCTCCACCCACACATTTGCAACGTTTTCGATTCACTGATCCTTGGGTGCCCCTTCATTTCTGCCTTGAATGCTGCGCGATTTTGAGTTTTAGGCCCTATTTGGCAAGTAAAAGGTGGAGCAATTGAGAAACTAACCTGCAATGTGAGCATGTGCTCACAATGTAACCCTTTCCTTAGAAATAAAAACGCTTCCGTGCTCTGATTAGGCCAAACAGAAACTGCGTATGAGACCAAATTATCGGTTCCTGCCTTCTACTGTTCCCTAATTCTACCAGTAAAAAAAACAAACGGTTCACACCATTCCTGCGTTATATCTCGCGTGTGGCGGCATAAAGATTTCATAAAATTCATTTCTATGTGAAATCGGAGATATCTGTAGAGCGCGAAAGAAATTTTCAAAACAGCACTTAGCTAACTGGTGGTTTGTCTATATCTTTATTTTGGGATAATTGTACTATTTTCTTTGATGAAGCAGACTTGCAATGACTTGTTTACCTTTAAAAAACTGAAATGATTTTTGAAAGCTTTTGAAGATTCGAAGAAGCTTTGCAGAAAAAATTTTGATCTAAGAAGGGGTCCAAATATTTTTCAAACCTGGCCTCACGCCCACCCCTCTCTTTGAAATTTTTGCCGCGTTCTCCTTTCTTAACAAGACTTTCGGAACGCCACTGACTTGACCAATCAGTATTATTCCAGATGACGACGTCCAGCATGATGTTTGCCGAGCGTGCTATTTTACGTCGTCTGAATCAGCTCCTGCTCAAGAAAGGAGCACAACACGGTTGGCGAGTTGCCAGCACAATTCCTGGGCTCTTCGCTCGTGCTGGCATTTGTTCCTCACACAGTTTCATCAGGTAAGGTTCTATTCACTTGTTCAGACTGATGCTCATTGTCAAAACTTCAGAACGAGAGAAGAATCGCTCGCATTGCAAGGCGACCCGTTCGGAGCTTTTCATCCTAGTGAGGAAGGACATCGTGCTGTAGCCGAAGAACTTATCAAACTGCTGAAGAAGTCAGGAACTCTAGAATCTTTGCTGCAATGAGCGGCTTCGTAGCTAGAATTATCTGTGTTAGTCATCTGTGATCTCATTTTATGTCTTTTGATCTCATTGCAAAATAAAGATTCGTTTAAAAAAAGTTTCCTACTATGTTTCCTTTCTTTTCTACCTACTCAGACAGCGGATAGGACCCCTCCGCCGGAGAAATGGCAGGGTCGCGGCGTTTCCCCAGCGGTGGGTCTCCCATTTGTCCGGCGGAGCCCTCCCATTTCTCCGGCGGAGACCTCCCATTTCTGCTCCGGATACCTCCCATTTACTGCTTCGGATACCTCCCATTTTCTCCGGCGCGGCTCTTCCAAATTTGGCGGACTCGCGCCGGGCAAATTTCTCCGGCGCGGAGTCCGCCAAATCTGGCAGAGTCGCGCCGGAAAAATGGCGGACCTTTGCAGCAGGGCCGGAGAAGCCTCCCACTTGCCTGCCAGTGATGTCACCGCGATAGACCGCCCATTTGCCCCTCTCTCATTGGTCAACTGGGTCCGGCGCGACTCTGGCAGTTTCGGACTGTCCGGCGGAGGGGTCCCGTCAATTGTCTGAGTATGAGAAAGGGAAAGGAATGATGATTATTGTGATGAGACGATGAGCCCATCACTTGAATGTAAAGCTTATTGTTAGATTACACATAATGTAGATCTGAGAATGTGATAAAATTGCAATTGCAGGCGTGAGCTGGTGACGATTGGAATCAAAAATTTGCCTTCTACTGGTCGAACTGTGCTAAAACTCTAAACAAGCATCACACTATGATCGGAAAAGGATTGAAAACGCATTAAACATACCAACTATTCTGAGACGAACTTGGCAAACCTAGCCCGGCGGCAGGCTAGAAATCGCTCTTAAGGCAATGCATATCGTTCTTGCGCGAAAATATTCCAAAAACGTGCATCAGCACTGTTCACAATCGTTAAGTTGACGCACTTGTGCGCCACCAGATTGCGGCCACGTTCTATTGTACCCACTACCGTAATCCTGCAAAAGGCGCTTTGTTATTTGGAATGAGCTTTATTCTTGTAAGTATTAGGTTGTCACTTAATCAATGCGGGTTTCTCAAGTTTAAGTTTCAATCACCATAATTTACCATAAGAATAGTCTCTCTGTGCAGTAAAAACTATTGAAATCAGCAACTTAATTTTGCAGCTGCGCCGTTGTGCTTTTGTACCTTCACTGAGAAAAATTCCAAGGAGCGCCAGTAACTTTTGGAAAATGTTTATTTTCCTGAGAGACCACAATATCAACTTTGAAATGTGATAAAATAGTACAGCGTTGAGCTTGGACTTCACAAAAGAATTTCGTCAAAGGGTATTGCATATTTGGAAAAAAACGCCGTTTTTTTCGATTATTTCTTAGACAACGCCGGAAAGTTCCCAAGAACATTGAGAAAAGCTCCGGCGGGTCACCTGGGGAACTCCGTGGTAAGCCTTTGGGAACTTCTGTTCTGAAGTTCTCGGAAACTTCTCAGGAGATTGTAGTCAGGACCGGCACGAGGTGGGCAAATGACAAACTAAAAATCGTTTTGGGTGAAAAAAAGCAAAAAGGGATATGATATTATTGCGGGGCCGGGCTTTGTCCCGAAAAGATTTATCGTTGAAATGGCAAACAAATCTGGTATCTTTCCCGTGAATTCGACTTTCGCACACGGTAAACTCCGCCGTCGCTGGCTGTCACACGCGCAAGGCTCAAATGCAAACTAGAACAACATATACGACTAATTCGCGGGTGTATGCCAAGGCGGACGATAGCTAGTAATAAGCATACTGTACTCTTGCAGTTGTCAATATGCTGCGCATAAATTCTTATTTTTTAGAGCGATATGTTCTTCACTGGGTTGGATAGGTTGGAACAGACTTAGGGCATCCGAGCTCCCAGCGTTTTCTCCAAATTCTTAAATATCATCATAGCGTAAATAAAGAATTTGAAAATATCCTACGCAACGCTTATGGCTGGCACAAGCTATGGTTCATGTTAGCTGCCCCCCCCCCCAGTTCTCCATGTATGCATCACGTTATAGCACCAAATTGCTTTAGTGGACAAGCATAGGCTAGCAGGGACAGGCTATGAAATTAGAAAGACTTATGTGGAAGGTGTACTAGGCTTTTTCCCCAAAATAGCTCATAAGTGGCGAGTGAAAATGTGAGCTGAAATGGCTCATTTGTAAAGCACAGATGACCATATGGTACAAAACTTGGTACGTACATGGAAACAGGCCTGTAGAAGTTAACTTCGAAGTACTTCCCGCTACTAAAAAAAGAAAAACTCCCTCGCTTGCAACGCACAGATGACGATATGACACGAAACTTGGTGTGTGTGCGCGCAGTGGGACTAAGGAAACAAAATATGAAGACTTATGAGAAACTTATGTGAATAGAGAGCGTGTTCAACTTTTTTTCAAATTGGTGGGCAATTGCCTACCCAATTTGGGAAAAGGTAGGCAAACTTCCAATTTACTTAAGTTTTCCAGAATTTTTAGATAAACCTGTTTTCTACAGCCAAACTTTAGTATACAGTAACATTTTGCCAAAACTCCCCTCTCCTCCTTGTTGAGATCCGGAGTAGCAACGACATCGGTCCTATGTGCGCGCTCTAATCGAACAACCTACGCAGCTGCCGGGATCAAGTGAGAAATCGTAAAAATCGATAACAGCAAAGGCGAAGTCGTTTCTCTGAAGTCCATTTGCTACCCACGTGTTGGGCCTTGATTGTAGTATGCAGAATTTCTGCAGTTGAAGTTCTCGGGAAATTACAAGAAGACTGTAGTTTGCCGTAACTCCTGCAGCCGTTCCTGGGAACTTATTACAGTTACGCTGAACCTCAAGCAGGCGCTATACTCCTCGAGGGGTATAGCATGGCGACGATCGATATGCATCAAATACGTGTAAAACCGGCGATTTTTGTCGCCGATATTGGCGATCTCCAGTCGTAGCGACGTAACAAACGTGTAGTCGCCGATATTGGCGATCGCCAGTCGCCAGTGTTGACGACTACACATTAAATATGTATCGATTGGACATGTGGCAAGTTGTTAGCGATTGATACGCATAGAAGACACAGTCGCCAATATTGGCGACTGATACGATGGGCGATCGCCCGTCGCCATGCTATACTCCTCGAGGAGTATAGCGCCTGCCTTATTAGAAAGAAAACTTCTCAAAATGATTGAATGCAACTATGCATATGGTGAGTAATGTCGACAAACAAACAAAACTCCATTTTCACAGCTGACTGCCCATATTTTCCTCCAAGCATGCCTCCTTGTTGGTGCACAACTAGGGAGCCCTTTGATTTCCGAAAATGAATATAAAAGGGTATGAATCGAAAAAAGCGCATTCTAATACCTTCGGACTACTTACCGGCTGCACCTATGACAAGCTAACATTTTTGGGCACACAAGCATCAAAGCTTTCAATACATAAGTTGAATACATGGTTTAAAACAAGAATAAGCTCAAAATATATGCGCGTAAAGGTTGTTAGATTACATTTTCGGGTCACAGAACGAAACCAGTTACCACAGCAACATTCCTCAAGAATGTGAATCAAAACAGCACGGATTCATTTAGAAGGCAATGTTAAAAGCGAGAAGTAAGGCAGAAATTTCAGAAGCAGAGACATGACTGCAAATATATGACACTTAAAAAGACGTCAATAGTGGGTCAAAGGGAGGAAGTATCAAAATAGAGAGCGAATGGCTGCAAGTATATAGCAGAGATAAAAACGAGGTGAAAAGCGGGTTAAGAGCAAGCAGTACAAAGCAGAGATCGAAGAAAATATAGACATACATATGATACATCAAAATAAATAGATGAACTTAACAACATAATCCGCTTATATTTCAGATTAGTCAGTCTTATACTCGAAGAGTGGAGTCTCTTCAATCTTACACTTGGGCTTCGATTTGCCTACTATTCGGCTTGCAGTGGGGTTCATCAAATTCATTGCTCACCTCCACAGATGCAATCGTTACACAAAGCTCTTCTTCCTGGCCTCCGCCGAAGCGATAGAAAGCATGCGATTCTTTTTACTGTCACAAGCTAGAAGCAGCTCAGATGGTGAAACGGCGAAGTTCGAGCAGAATGGAAATTGTTCTTTGGTCTTCATGATTTTTAGCAACTGCCCGTTTGAAGGAACCTGGTTAACTTTACCATTATAAGCGCTACACAACCAAACCTTCAAAGAGAGAGCTTTGGCTTTCACAACCAGCAGATACCCCGATCATCACCTCTCAAAGCGCTAATGTATGGGAAATTTTATAGGATAGGAATAAGTAACAATTCACTGATATAGGCCCAGAGTGGTACTGTCTATAAAGTGCGTCTGAGCCCTCATGCTCGGCCTCGCGCTGAAGAGACCTACTAAATTGGCCCAATCCCCTGTAACTTCCATGAAAGTCAAAGTGTTTTAACATAATGAACGTGTTGAAAGAACGAGTGAGATATGCACACACGTGCTTATTTGGAAAAACCAATGCCATGCAAACTCATGCAAATCTTGAGAAAAAAGTTCTCCTGAAGATGGGCAAAACTGGCGACTGTGGGGCACCGCCTAGTCCTGAAGTTGGGAAAAAAGCAATACTATTATAAATTGCAGGGAAATTATGCAGCAATCATAGAGTAGACAAAGATTGATCGTAACTAACTTTATTTCTTGTCCAGTCGTAATTGTAAAAAGTATCCATCCAAGCTACTGACGGCGAGCAAGCCACCGTTCTCAGTGACCGAACGCCCAAAAAACAAAAGGGTAGGAAAAGTAAAAGTAAGGCTCGTAAGTGTGCAGTCTTTTCGCCGTCTAGAATAGCCGCAACTATAACAATAGCACTATAAAAAAGGGACAAGATCTTGTAGACAATAGAATTCATAACCCGGGGATGCTATTGCAAGGGAGGGGAAGGTAGGCTCTGGAGGTCACTCATCGTCATTTCATTCAAGGCTGTCTTCTTTGCAGAAGAGTACCTTCATCTTATGACATATGAGAAAGCGTGATATTAGCTCCGCA